TTGTGTAACCTCTTTGTATTGTTTATGTCACCTTTGCACCCTTTTTAAAAAAATTTTGGGATATTTTTTTAATGTTTTTACGTATTTATTTTTTCTTTAAGAATTGGGAATTTAGCTTATATCATTATTTAAGCAGCAATGGAAGAGGCCTCGTAAGTCCAAGCGTTGGTAAAGAGTACATCGTGGGGAAGGGAAGCTGTACTCCATGAGGAAGTTCAAAAGAATTTTTCTTTACAAGCATGCGTTTGTAGAGGTGACTAAATTGCCGGGAAAAGGGGGTAGGTAGTAACCCTTTTTTGTTAAATTCTACTGACAAAGAAAATTTTTCTTTTTTTTTTTGAAGTTTCCCTGCCTCGGTGGGGACGGCCGGGGGAATTAAAAATAAAAAAAAAAATAAGTAGAGAACCCAAATTCTATCATCTCATTATGATAATAATTCAAATAATTTTTTTTATTACACATGAACTATAATACAGTGGGACCTCAGGATACAAAAACCCATTTGTTCCAGAAGGTGTTCAAGTGCCCCATGTAAAAGAAATTTTTTCCATAAGGAAAAATGTAAATCAGATTAATTCATTTCAGACCCCAAAAAAAAACGTTCAAAGCATTTCATAAATACACTTAAAAATTGTTCGAATTTTGAGTGTTTTTTCCCCAAGGGACCCCTTAACTACAAAAAACAAGTTAAATTTTTAAACTTTCCCTTTTTGGGATAAACCTTGGTAAAAATCCCCACAAGTTGGGGTTAGAAAGAAAGTAAGCAAACATTGCATATTTTTAGAAACATTTCGGTCCCGGAACCTTGATCATTCTAACATATGTTTTCTAATAAATTGTTTAGTGTTTGTTTACGTGTCTTTCTAAACCAAATTCCCTTTTAAAAAGAGAATTAATTTGAGTTATCTAAGTGATCATTTTGATGAGGTTAGATATATTGACTTATGAAGGGGTAGAGTTTCCAAAATTGAGCTTGGTTCTCCTTAATTTCCGTATTTACTTTGAAGAAAAAATGTCTTTTTGCGGAATTCCCGGATCTTCTGTGCTGCCTCCTCCAGTTCAGGGCTGTGAAAATGACATACTGTAATTAATTTACTTTTTTGCGTGACCATAACTCATTTCAAAATACTATTAACACAGATATTAAAATAGTATCCCGTTTTTTACTCAAGAAAATTTTCTTCAAGCTTGTTCTGACTGGAGTGAATGCTGAATCTATCCCCTTTAGGTTGGGGGGTTAATTTCCCCCACAATATTAACTATAATTTTCTTACATTGTACCAGGTTTTTATAAATCAAAAAATTATAAAACCGGTACAAGTGGACTAAAAGTCGCGTAAGCTCCTCTCTTTTTGTGCGGGTTATTTGTGTATATTCCGTCCGGTATTGTGCCTTTTTTGTTATTTAAAACAGGTACAGGCTCGCCCCCCTTTTAAAAGAAGTTCGGTTTCAGGTAGCTAAAAAATTCCTTTTATCTAAAATGCTGCAAAATTATCCTCGTGAACAGCAGACAACCATAATAGATTTTTCTATTTTAGATAATATCTTTCAAAATAAAATAACCATCTGCAACAACAAGTAAGAGGGAGGTGAAAGTGTATAAACTAAGGGAGGAGGAAGTTCGGGCGAGATATAAGCGACTATTGGCAGAAAGTGGGATAGTGCAAAGAGAGTAATGGGGGGGTTGAAGAGGGTTGAATAGTTTTAAAAATGCAGTATTAGAAATGGGGGGCAGAATTTTTGTGGTTATAGGAGGGTGGTGCAGAGGAAAGAGGAGTGATTGGGGTGGAATGATGAAGTAAAGGGTGTGAAAAAAGAGAAAAAGGTAGCTTATGAGGGGTTTTTTTACAAAGCAGAAGTGTTATAAGAAGAGCAGAATAAATGGGAGAGTAAAAAAAAGGTAAAAGAGTGGTGAGAGAGTGCAAAAGGAGAGCAGATGATAGAGTGGGAGACGCCTGTCAAGAAATTTTAATGAAAATAAGAAAAAATTTTGGAGTGAGTTAAACCCAAGTTAAGAAAGCCAAGGGAAAATATGGATTTGTCAGTTAAAAACGAGTAGGGGAGTAGTAGATGGGGAATGGAGGTATTAGGTAGATGGCGAAATATTTTGAGGAACTTTTAAATGTAAGGGAAGAAACAGAGGCAGTAATTTCATGCACTGGTCAGGGAGGTATAACCATCTTTTAGGAGTGAAGAAGAGCAGAATGTAAGTGTGGGGGAGGTACGTGGGGCCCATTACGTAAAATGAAAGGGGGTAAAGCAGCTGGTACTGATGGGATCATGACAGAAATGTTAAAAGCAGGGGGGGATATAGTGTTGGAGTGGTTGGTACTTTTGTTCAATAAATGATGAAAGAGGGAAGGTACCTGGGGATTGGCGGAGAGCATGTATAGTCCCTTTATATAAAGGGAAAGGGGACAAAAGAGACTGTAAAAATTATAGAGGAATAAGCTTACTGAGTATACCAGGAAAAGTGTACGGTAGGGTTATAATTGAAAGAATTAGAGGTAAGACAGAATGTAGGATTGCGGATGAGCAAGGAGGTTTCAGAGTGGGTAGGGGATGTGTAGACAAGTGTTTACATTGAAGCATATATGTGAACAGTATTTAGATAAAGGTAGGGAAGTTTTTATTGCATTTATGGATTTAGAAAAGGCATATGATAGAGTGGATAGAGGGGGCAATGCGGCAGATGTTGTAAGTATATGGAATAGGTGGTAAGTTATTAAATGCGTAAAGAGTTTTTATGGGGATAGTGAGGCTCAGGTTAGGGTGTGTAGAAGAGAGGGAGACTACTTTCCGGGTAAAAGTAGTCTTAGACAGGGATGTGTAATGTCACCAGGTTGTTTTAATATTTAAAGATGGGGTTGAAAAGGGGAAGTAATGCTAGGTGGTGTTCGGGAGAGGGGTGGGTTTTAAATTTGGGGGAATCAAATTCAAAATGGGAATTGACAGTTACTTTTTGCTGATGATACTGTGCTTAGGGGAGATTCTAAAGAAAAATTGCAAAGGTTAGTGGATGAGTTTGGGAATGTGTGTAAAGGTAGAAAGTTGAAAGTGAACTAGAAAAGAGTAAGGTGATGAGGGTGTCAAATGATTTAGAAAAAGAAAAATTGGATATCAAATTGGGAGGAGGAGTATGGAAGAAGTGAATGTTTTCAGATACTTGGAGTTGATGTGTGGGCAGATGGATTTATGAAGGATGAGGTTAATCATAGAATTGATGAGGGAAAAAAGGCGAGTGGTGCGTTGAGGTAATATGTGGAGTCAAAAAAAACGTTATCTATGGAGGCAAAGAAGGGAATGTATGAAAGTATAGTAGTACCAACACTCTTATATGGGTGTGAAGCTTGGGTGGAAAATTTGCAGCAGTGGGGAGAAGGGTTTGGGGGAGGCAGTGGAGATGTCCTGTTTAAGGGCAATGTGTGGTGTAAATAATATGCAGAAAATTCGGAGTGTGGAAATTAGGAGAAGGGGGTGGGTTAATAAAAGTATTAGTCAGAGGGCAGAAGAGGGGTTGTTGAGGTGGTTTGGTCATTTAGAAGAATGGATCAAAGTAGAATAAACATGGAAAGCATATAAATCTATAGGGGAAGGAAGGCGGGGTAGGGTCGTCCTCGAAAGGGTTGGAGAAGGGGGTAAAGGAGGTTTTGTGGGCAAGGGGGCTTGGACTTCCACAAGCGTGCGTGAGCGTGTTAGATAGGAGTGAATGGAGACGAATGGTACTGGGACCTGACGATCTTTTTGGAGTGTGAGCAGGGAAATATTTAGTGAAGGATTCAGGGAAACCGGTTACTATTTTCCATATAGTCGGACTTGAGTCCTGGAAATGGGAAGTACAATGCCTGCACTTTAAAGGGAGGGTTTTGGGATATTGGCAGTTTGGAGGGATATGTTGTGTATCTTTATATTTTTATGCTTCTAAACTGTTGTATTCTGAGCACCTCTGCAAAAACAGTGATAATGTGCGAGTGTGGTGAAAGTGTTGAATGATGATGAAAGTATTTTCTTTTTGGGGGTTTTTTTTCTTTTTTGGGTCACCCTGCCTCGGTGGGAGACGGCCGACTTGTTGAAAAAAAAAAAAATTATTATTATTATTATTATTATTATTATTATTATTATTACTATTATTATTATTACTATTATTTCAACAAACCAGCTGTATCCCAGTGAAGCAGGGTGGCCCAAAAAGAAAAACAAAATTTCTCTTTTTAACTCTAGCAATGTATACAGGAGAAGGGATTACTAGCCCCTAGCTCCTGGCATGTTAGTCACCTCTTACGACACTCATGGATCATGGAGGAAGAATTCTGTTCCACTTCCTCATGGAGATAGGAGGAAATAAACAAGAACTACTAAGAAAAAGGAAGAAAACCCAGAGGAGTGTGTACATATGCTTGTACATGCATGTGTAGTGTGATCTAAATGTAAGTAGAAGTAGCATGTTTATGAGACAGAAAAAAGACACCAGCAATCCTACCATTGTGTAAAACAATTACAGGCTTCCGTTTTACACTCACTTGACAGGACGGTAGTACCTCCCTGGGCAGTTGCTATCAACCTGCTACCTATAATTATTATTATTTTTTTTTTTAACAAGTCAGCCATCTCCCACCAAGGCAGGGTGACCCAAAAAGAAAGAAAATCCCCAAAAAGAAAATACTTTCATAATCATTCAACACTTTCACCTCCCTCACACATAATCACTGTTTTTGCAGAGGTGCCCAGAACACAACAGTTTAGAAGCATATACATATAAAGATACACAACATATCCCTCATCAACATCATCATATCCCTCCAAACTGCCAATGTTATTATTATTATTATTATTACATTAATGGAGAAGTGCTAAACCTAAAGGGGTATACAGCACCAGAGGAATGGAAGATCAGCTGGTTTGATCCAAGAGAGATACGTAGTTCCAATTCCTTGAATCAAGACAATCTTCCCTCCTTATTGGACATTTATTATATAAAGTATACGTATAGGCAAATAACATTATGTAAAAATATAACAAACCTCATGGATGCCATCAGTTCCATATCTCTTGTTGTATTTGTCGTAGTGTGGTTCCTCCAGAACTAAGCCTAGCCCTGGAGCAATAGGTACATCCACACGGTCCTTGCCCCAAGCTCTGGTGATGATATCCACCGAAGACAACCCTTGACTGATGGCCATTGTCAACCCAATCATTTTGCGAATCTGGTGCAACATGAAACTTTGACCTGTGAAGGAATACAGCATATGAATTAGGGAGCTCACGCATCCAGAATACCAGTTTACCGTAAAAAAAAAATTAAGTGGCTCAACCCTGCTTTGAATAACATTACCACATACAGTAATTTTTGTTGTAGAAGATGGCATTCTAGACAATAAATTTTGTGGAAAGTGGAAAGAAAAAGAATTCTTTCCCTGTAAGCCATGTGTGTCATAAGAGGCAACTACAATGCCAGGAGTAAGGGGCTTGTAACCCCTTCTCCATTATAAATTACTAAGTTTGAAAAGAAAACTTTCGTTTTTCTTTTTTAGGTCACTGCTTCAGTGAGATATGGCCGGTGTGTTAAGGAAAGGGAAATATTTTGTATGTAATATGACAAAAGGAATACTGCCAACAGTAATGAAGAAGACACTCGTGCAAAATTAACATTTATTTGTAATAGATTTTATTCTGGATATTTTTTTATTTTATCCAAGGATAAAGAGGATAAATCACATTCCCTGGATCAAGAGCACCTCACTGGCATCTAGGCACCTCTTTTGTGAGGTTTGCTTTGTGATGAGATTTATCAATACAAATGTGACTTACTGTATTTTATGGCATTGAAGGTGCTATTTTTTTCCCAAAATAAATCTCAAAAATTTATCCAGCATTTTGGAGGCTAAAATATCATTCATCTTTTTTTTTCCAAAATTTAGCCAAATAAGAATTGGGGGCATCCTCAACACTGGAGTGTCTTGTCTGCCATAAAATAGGGTAATAATCTTTACACAGAACGAAACATCGTCACAATAAAAGCTTCTTTGGCACTTTTGTTTTATTATTGTACGAAACAGGAACAGTACCAAAAACACAAATTATCAAGCTCAACATAACATACCTTTAATTTTAATGATGAGCCATTCCAAGCCATCCCGTTCAAATGGCTCTCCACAGTCAATGTCCATGATATAACGGTTAGCACTAGCATCCTGGGCTTTCCTGAAAAGAACAGTATTATTGCTTTTAATCAACAATATTTATTCCCCATACCAAATACAGTGGACCCCCGGTTTACGATCAGCTCCCAATGCGACCAATTATGTAAGTGTATTTATGTAAGTGCATTTGTATGTGTATGTTTGGGGGTCTGAAATGGACTAATCTAATTCACAATATTCCTTATGGGAACAAATTCGGTCAGTACTGGCACCTGAACATACTTCTGGAATGAAATAATATCGTAAACCGGGGGTCCACTGTACTGTGATTAACGTAAAACTTCTCAAATCACTATGAATCACTGTGCGGAGACTGACACTTGTTTGTTACTAATGCTAAGTGAACATCCAATCGCCCAACTTCTGGGAGAAAGGCTCATAGCCATTAAAACATTTAAACAACATAAACACAGCAATCAGCATCTGGCACTGGCTTAATCTATGAGAAAAGTGAATCAAGTCTGGCATCTCGTTCTAACATGGGTATGGCAAATGATGTTGGTTTGTAAAACGAAGCAAGAATGTGTGGAGCGACTTCTTATTAGTACATGCTAAATGAGGCAGCTATCATTTTCTAATAGTGCCACAGTACTGTTAAATGTGTGTTTATACACATGTGGTATATTTTTATCACTTTTGTGCAGCAACTGCCACTTGCTTGCCATATTAGACAATAGTGTATAGAGTCTGGGCTATCACGTATGTTCAGTAGTTGCAGCTGGCTTGCACTATACAACTAAGTGTTAATTCTGTTACATTATGTGGCAAATGCCATTTCCTTGAACTCTTGACACAAGACACAAATATATGGCAAAGAAAAGAGCAAATTCAAGAAGCATGAGAAAACTGCCAAGTTGAGAGAAAGGAGTAAGGAAAGAAAAAACACTTGATCCTATAGTACTGTATTTAAATTTTTTTACTTTAGTATCACTTAAAACGAACTTTATAATGAGATATCAAAGATACTCGCAGAGCTCACTTTCGGGCCGTGAAGTTGTGGAAATTGTGAGTGCCTTTATATAAATCCAAAGTTGTTCTAAGTTGCTGCAAGACCTCTGGAGTAATACGGTAGTCCTCGTTCATTATCTGAAAATCAAAATCTGTCAAAATACGCCTGAACTGGAGAGTGATGTCACAGGATCCCACATAGTTAAGCCACTGTGCAAGTGTATGGCTTAAAGCTGGTTAGAGAATACAGACCTTTCTCAAACATACTGGCTACAAGCCAGGAGTACACCTTCAAAAGTCAGACTTGCTAGCCATCATCACTATCCCATTTCCCACTTTAATTGGGAGGGGAGGCATCCCCCTGGAAAGGATGGAAACGTATTATAAGAAAAACAGCTGCACCTGGCTTTCTTACTACCTTCCACAATCAACTGTAGACATTAACAGGATACCCAAAGTGTGCTACAAAGAATTCAGGTACAAGAAAATATTCAGTAATTTATTCCATCTTAAACTCCTTCCATCACTTTTCACTGCCATTTCTTGTGTTGTTTGTGTCAATAACACATTTTCTCACGCTCAGTACATTTGCTAACTTTGGTAACATGCAACAAATTAATATAAGGAGGCATCGTCAACTACTGGTGTAGATGTTTATATCTGAAAATATAATATACAGTATTTTACACTGTCCATTTTCCACCAATACATTACCATCACTCACTCTGTAGCTGACTTGCCAGATGTTCATGGATATCACAATTCAAATAACCTTGAACATATCACGTTAAATACATTCTATGCTTTTCTTAGCTTCATAATTCAAAAGAGTTGTAAAAAAAAAATGAAGTTACAACATATGCAGTGGTGCCTCGAACATCGGCTGAAATTCGTTCCAGAAGGCTGTTCAAGTGCCGTTACCGAATGAATTTGTTCCCACAAGGAACAATGTAAATTGGATTAGTCTGTTTCTGACCAAAAAAAATACACTTACAAAAACACTTACAAAAATACACTTGCATAACTGTTCGAGTTGGGAGCCGTTCGAAATTCGAGGTACCACTGTATATTGGTATTGTACATTAATTTTCATTGGAGAGATTTTCACAAAATGTACCAGGCACTAAACTTACTTCCGTCCGGGGAGCAAAGGCAAAGGAAGGACACATGTAAGAATAAGTGCGGGAATCACACCATGACTTGCAGTTGAAGCTCTTAGTCGTGCGACGAACAGCCATCACACGTATCTGGGAGCACAGGTGCTTGTTGATGGCACTCACCATATCTGGTACATCCTCAGCTGGAAAAATTAAAGCATATGTTCATCAACAACATTTTAACCAATCTTTGTGGCTACATTTACCAATTTTTCACTATCCAGCAAAAACTCCCTTTTACATCCTCTTTAGATTTTGACCCATTAGTCATAGTTTTTTTTTTTCTTAAAAACAGCTGAGTGTTAGCTTAAAACCTATTCAAAATACAGTGGACCCCAGACTCACAATGACCTCAACCTACAATAAAACCGACTTACGATGCTTGTCAGCGTAAAAAATTTGACCCCGACCTACGTTGAAAAACTCAACTTACATCATTTGTCCCGAACACGGCCGTCTGGTCCGTTTGGCCTGAGCACCTCACCTGAGCTAGTGTGACATTGTTTACAAGCCAGGGCAGATGGCTGCACGCATACATTTGATAAATTTTGTATTATTCCAGTGTTTTTAGTGCTTGTAACTGCTAAATAAGCCACCATGGGCTTATCGAGAATACCGAAAAACAATTAACCCCAGAGGGTTAGCCACCCAGGATAACCCAAGAAAGTCAGTGTGTCACAGAGGACTGTCTAACATATTTCCATTGGGGTCCTTAATCTTGTCCCCCAGGATACGACCCACACCAGTAGACTAACACCCAAGTGAACAGGAAAAAATGCCTGGAACTAGTGCTCATATTGGTGAATTTAAAGCCAGCAAAGGTTGGTTTGAGAGATTTAAGAATCGTAGTGGCATACACAATGTGATACTGTCTGTTCTGGAAGAAAATGCCAAACAGGACCTACGTTACTCAGGAGGAAAAGGCACTCCCAGGACACAAACAGTGTCTCAGCACTCATCACCACATCTTCAATAAAGGTAAGTGTCATTTATTCTTCATTTAGTACAATAGTACATGCACAATATATATTGTGCATGTATCCTTCTTTTTGTGTGTAGGAAAATGTATATTTCATGTGGTAAAAAAAAAAATTTCATACCTTTGGGTGTCTTGAACGGATTAATTTGATTTCCATTATTTATGGGGAAAATTAATTCAACTTACGATAATTTCGTCTTACGATGTGCTCTCTGGAACGGATTAATATCATAATTTGGGGGTCCACTGTAATGCACTTAATACTTAATACTGAACTTAATACTTATTCAAAATACTGCACATGATCTTTTTATAATGATTTTCCTAATGTTTCTTATAATGATTTTCTATAATAATTTTCACAGATGCATAAAATGCATTTCTGTAATTAAATATCCAATTCTGATGAAGCACCAATGTGCCTAGTTTGAAGCCAATTAAGACACCATTGAAGGAGACTAACAATCAGGGACTAGAAGAATATACTGTTTAATAAATATTAGACAATGCAATTTTTTTCTTATAAATAACAGGAAATATTAGTAAATAAATATAGAAAAAATACTGTACATTCACTAGAAAAAAAGAAGTCTGGAGCTTCATAGATTTGCAGAGACATTATTTATTCTAATGACATTTTGCAAAACATAGAGTTTGATAGTTCGATGATAAGTGGAATGCTGTCAGAAGTAAGACGTGATCAGTAAACTGTATTTCTTTATCATGCTTGTGGAGACCATTTGCTAGTCAAACCTTGCAAATTTTGCCTGCTCGTGAAAAAAAAAAGTCAAAAGTAACTTACCACATTATCCTGAGCTTACTCAGCACTAATGAATTCTTTTTATTTTGCTGCACTAAAACAAGAAGTCCCCAACCCATGTGGATCACACATCTCAGTACTTACGAAGCTTGAGTGATATCACTTGTCGTGCTGCAGAAACGCCTTTATCTGTGCGAGCTGCTCGCTGGAAGTGGAATATCTGTGGACATGTACAGCCCTCGTCTGTAATTAGGTCGGCACGCAACATGGCCGTTAATAAATCATCTTCAATCGTGCGATAACCTGGGTTTCTGTGGGTACAATATCTGTTATTGTTACAAAGGCAAAAATTAATCATTTCATTAATTAGCAACTTCAAAATAGTGTACAGTATATACCATAAACACACTCCTTGTTGCTTACCCCATGCTGAAAATTCTTATATTTAAATGGCACATGAAGAAATTTTTTAATGGGAATCTTTTTAATTCCTTAGTTTCATAATCACTGGATACAAGCCAATCTAAATAAAATTTCATTTGGAAGCTATTTTTAAAACTTCTTTATATATAAATATTTCCTGTAAATTTGTTATTTTATTATGAAAAGATAATTTACAAAATACTAGTGAGCATTATCTCTCTCTACTGACTTCACATAAGCCTGCATGAGGCTAACCACTTCACCTTTGCATGCCCAAATAGCCTTTGCCAGAGTAAGAAAGTAGCAAAGCATATTTTCTTCGTTTTCTTCTGGCTGTTTCCCCACCATCAGCCTCGGATGTGCCATCCAAATGAATGCGTTTCACTTGTGCTTCAGTCGACTCAGGTTCTGTCGCTCGTTTCATACTCCCTCCTGGCAAAGGAGAGTCCTTGATAACACAACTTAAAAGATAACACAATTACTGAAAGTAAACATGGTAAAACACAGAGACAATAAATAAGAAGGATCCCAGCAGGGTGTAGAAATATATACATATGTATATCAATTAATCTTCTGAGCTTGTCTTCATTTTTTTTTTTTTTATTATCACACTGGCCGATTCCCACCAAGGCAGGGTGGCCCGAAAAAGCCTAATAAATATAAATTTATATGAGCAATTCTGATGTTAAATGGAGCCATAAGTCAGCATTTAAAGTAGGTTACTGTACTTAAAATACCACATAAAAATATATATCTGACACTCAAAATATTTTTGATGTGATTCTTTGTAAACAGAATGACTCTGAAATGTACAAAATAAAATTTTAAATGTACTGAATGATGAAACTCAACAAAAAAGCTGCAAGTTGAGGAACAAGTGAGTGGGCTGAAAAACTAATGAAGCTTGAAGAAGTTCACATACTATGATAATACATATAATACATACATAGATATATACACATATACTATATATATATATTACATACAATTGATACTAGTATAAAGATAAATGGAGCAAAGCTTCTGGACTAACACAACTGATAATGATGGAAAAATGAGGATAGTAAGAACATATGTCAAGAGGGTAGAGATGTGTGTAAATAAGTTTATTTAGGTACAGCTACACATAAGCACACTTGTCATACATAGCAACAATAATAGTAACATATGTGTAAATTACCTACGATAATCCAAAAAAGTCAAAGTGACTGGATGTATTAGGGAAAGCAGAAAATTACAAAAGCCACATCTGTAACATTCAGTGAATTACATAACCACACATACAGTAGGTAATTTCCCCTCATAAAACTGACCATGGGAGATGGCTTCAACATCACCATGACTGTCCTGTGAAGACGCCATTGACGAAAAAGGGAGAAACTGTACGCAGGCTCTAGCAGCAAGCAGGAAATACACTTGACACACCCAGTTTGTTGCAGGACACACAAATTTTAATACCTTGTTGTATCTGAATAATCCTGTAAAGACAAAAATATAATCTATTAGGCAGTAAAATGAGTACAGTAGAGTATATTATTTTTTAAATGCATTGTACTACGTCTTAGTCGTCGTCCTCAGAACTGAAATGCAAACTAATTTAACTTTACAAGTGAATATTTAACTACCAGAAAGTACAGTAATAAGCTTTTTATTTAAACAAATTTAAACTAGCTATATTTGGTGAATGTAACTAAGATTTTTTTAATTAATTTTCTCTTTGTATTAAGGTAGAATGTGAATTACGAATGTAATTTTAACTATTTCAATACCATAATTATCTTTGCATCAACTATCTGCCAAATTACCATTGCATTATATGTGTTCATAATTACACTGTTCTGCGGGTTGTTTGTAATCGTCTTCAGCTCACAAATGGAAGGACCTGGGTTCGATTCCAGTACAAGTGGTAACTGTTATTATTATATTCTTGGGAGGAGAGATAAAATTTAAGGGATTGTAGGGAGTCTAGTGGTATGAGAGGTAGTCAATCTGATCCATACAAGGGGAAATCTAGTCCAGTTCCTTGGATCAAGAGCCTCTCACTGGCATCAAGGAACCTCCCTCAGAGGAATAATCAATAGTTTAAATTACTAATCAATAAAATAAATACAAATTGTAATATATAAGAACTGCATAAACACGTTAAACGATAAATAAGAAGAAAATAAAGAAAAATTCGATAATCCTTCAAGTGAAAAAGACAGTTCTCTACGAGTAAAAAAAAAAAAAAGAAAGTAAAATAAGAGCAAATTCCACCAATAGATCGCCACCAAATGTAAATATAATAAGCAATGTGAGGATTTTTGACCCAAAAAGACCAATAATACCCACAAACTGGTCATATAAAGTCGAGAGAAAGCAGAGGAACCCACCTCTTGCAGCCATGTGTTGGTGTTCTTCTGGTGAATCCGGATAACCAGCTTCCTCAACCATTGATCCGACTCCAACCTTCGGATTCCTTAATATTGTATAAATATATTGAGCAAATATCGCAAACCAAGTGATATAGGATGCAAAATAACCACGGGGGAGGGGGGGGGGGTAAGTTGAATGATAGCTCTAGGGCTTTTGTGTTGGAATCAGTACCTTCCTCTACACCCTCTTCTTTTCTGTTATTTTGCAAGCTCCTGATGATGTGTTGATTGTAATACGAAAGGCCTAGACCTATCATTCTACTCCCCCCGTGGTTGTTTTGCTTATAAATATATACAAAACAACCACAGGGAGTGTTGAATTATAGTTCTAGGCCTTTCGTGCTGCAATCAACACCCTCCTCTTTTTCTGCAATTTTGCAAGCTCCTGATGATGTATTGATTGTAACACGAAAGGCCTAGAGCTATCATTCTACTCCCACCGTGGTTGTTTTGCTTATAAATATATACAAAACAATCACAGGGGGTAGTTAAGCGATATCTCTAGGCCTTTCGTGTTGCAATCAACACATCACCAGAAGCTTGCAATTGTTGCAGAAATAAGTAAGAGATCTCAGCAAATTTATTCTGGGGGAAGGAAGCTGCTGAGATCTCTTACTCATTTCTGCAACATTGTAAGCTCCTGGTGATGTGTTGATTGCAACACGAGAGGCCTAGAGCTATCATTCAACTCCCCCCGCTTGTTCACGCTTCTTGCATATGGGGACCCATAGCCTCAGAATAAACATTTTTCATGGGGAAATAAAATGACGCCAATGGAAATAAAATGACGCCAATGGAAATAAAAGAACTCCAGTGGAAATACAAGGACTCCAATGGAAATACAAGGACCCCAATGGAAATACAAGGACCCCAATGGAAATACAAGGACCCCAATGGAAATACAAGGACCCCAATGGAAATACAAGGACCCCAATGGAAATACAAGGACCCCAATGGAAATACAAGGACCCCAATGGAAAGACAAGGACCCCAATGGAAATACAAGGACCCCAATGGAAATACAAGGACCCCAATGGAAAGACAAGGACTCCAATGGAAATACAAGGACTCCAATGGAAATACAAGGACCCCAATGGAAAGACAAGGGCTCCAATGGAAATACAAGGACTCCAATTGAAATACAAGGACCCCAATAGAAAGACAAGGGCTCCAATGGAAATACAAGGACTCCAATGGAAATACAGGGACCCCAATGGAAATACAAGGACCCCAATGGAAAGACAAGGACCCCAATGGAAAGACAAGGGCTCCAATGGAAATACAAGGACTCCAATGGAAATACAAGGACCCCAATGGAAATACAAGGACCCCAATGGAAATACAAGGACCCCAATGGAAATACAAGGACCCCAAAGGAAAGACAAGGGCTCCAATGGAAATACAAGGACTCCAATGGAAATACAAGGACCCCAATGGAAATACAAGGACTCCAATGGAAATACAAGGACCTCAATAGAAATACAAGGACCCCAATGGAAATATAAGGACCCTAATGGAAATACAATGTCCCATTGGAAATACATTGACTAAATAAGTTTATTTGGGCACAAGTTCACATATGTACAATTATCGTACAGTGAAAATTACACAGCATGACCTAAAAAATACAAAGTGATTTATTTCTATTGGAAATACAAGGACCCCAATGGAAATAAGTCACTTTGTCAGACTTTTTTTTTGGGTTATCCTGGGTAATTTACACTATGTATGATAACTGTACCTGTGCCTAAACAAAGCTTACTTGCTTACTTAACTTACTTTACTCACTAACTTTTCTTACTGCTTCACTTTTAGATTTAGATTTTGCCACCTAAGTTTATTGGGCACCCCATATTGGGCACCCTATATTGGGCACCCCATATTGGGCACCCCATATTGGGCACCCCATATTGGGCACCCCATATTGGGCACCCCATATTGGGCACCCCATATTGGGCACCCCATATTGGGCACCCCATATTGGGTACCCCATATTGGGCACCCCATACCCAGCCTATGTATGTTAATTGTACAAAAACATATGGGTACACAAAAGGCCCAGGAACTAGACCCCAAAAGAGTTAACAGGTGTACATATGAATTTATATCTATATATCTATAGTTCACTTATCTGTTACAAGCAAATTTAGGAAATTTGCTTAGTATATCTGGTATCTTATTTTCATTAATAAGATATCTTGACATGTCACATAGGTTATTATACTGTCTGTCTCTGTATTCCTCAATAAGTGGACAATTAAGCACATAGTGTTCAAGACAGTGACCAGATGCCTGAGCACATAATTTGCATTTAGTTTGATCATCTCACTTACTTTACTTAATAAGTAAGTAAGTAAGTAAGTTTATTCAGGTATGCACAAATGCAGTTACATAGAATTATCATACATAGCAGCTCACTTTACTTACTTTACTCACTTACTTTGTTTACTTTACTCACTTTACTTACCTACTTTACTCACTTACTTTATTACTTTACTCACTTACTTTACTTACTTACTTTATTCACTTACTTTACTTACCTACTTTACTTACCTACTTTATTCACTTTACTTACCTACTTTACTCACTTACTCTACTCGCTTACTTTACTTACCTACTTTATTCACTTTACAGGCCGGTGGCCTGGTGGCTAAAGCTCCCGCTTCACACACGGAAGGTCCGGGTTCGATTCCCGGCGGGTGGAAACATTTCGACACGTTTCCTTACACCTGTTGTCCTGTTCACCTAGCAGCAAATAGGTACCTGGGTGTTAGTCGACTGGTGTGGGTCGCATCCTGGGGGACAAGATTAAGGACCCCAATGGAAATAAGTTAGACAGTCATCAATGACGCACTGACTTTCTTGGGTTATCCTGGGTGGCTGACCCTCCGGGGTTAAAAATCCGAACGAAATCTTATCTTACTTTATTCACTTTACTTATCTACTTTACTCACTTACCTACTTTACTCACTTTACTTACCTACTTTACTCACTTTGCTTACCTACTTTACTCACTTTAATTACCTACTTTACTCACTTTGCTTACCTACTTTACTCACTTTAATTACCTACTTTACTCACTTTGCTTACCTACTTTACTCACTTTAATTACCTACTTTACTCACTTTACTCACCTACTTTACTCACTTTGCTTACCTACTTTACTCACTTTACTTACCTACTTTACTCACTTTAATTACCTACTTTTCTCACTTTGCTTACCTACTTTACTCACTTTACTTACCTACTTTACTCATTTTAATTACGTACTTTACTCACTTTACTTACCTACTTTACTCACCATAGGATCTAATCTCGCCAATAAAATCCCACATACCAATGCCCATGCCGGGGACTACCTAGATGGGAATTTCCAAAATTCCTTCTATCTTGCACCAACTAAGCCCACGGAAGTCACCGAGTTTATAAAGTCACTTAAAAATAACTCAGGGAATCTGTCTCATGTCCCACCATTACTGTACAAGCGAGCGGCCCATGTCCTTTCGCATGCTATTTCATATTTCATTACTCTTTAACAAGTCACTAGAGACTAGCACCTTCCCGAAACTACTCAAGATGGCAAGGGTTACACCAATACATAAAGGTGGTGACCCTACAGACTTAAACAACTATAGGCCAATATCAAACTTACCATTGCTATCCAAAATCTGAGAAACTCGTGCACAGGAGACTATATTCATTTATAACGTCACAAAACATACTTAACCCCTGCCAATTTGGATTCAGGAAAAATAAAAGCACTAATGATGCAATCATAAAAATGCTAGATCTGCTTTACACCCTGCCTCACCCACCCAACTACCAGCGCCACCCCATCTGTAGAGGGTACTTCTCCCCTAACCCACGATGTCAGCGATGGTACTGCAGCGGCAGGGAGTGCCGGGCTCACAGGAACTTCCACTATAGGGACAGCATCGTGGAGTTCGACCGCGAGGCAGCTGCCAGGTGTGCCACAGGCAGTGTGTACTCAGTTCCTCAAGCTTCAACATCCGTGCACACGAGGGCCTGGGATCTTAAATCAATTTGGCATCCACCAGGACGCTGACATGTCCCTAGGGCAGCTCTCCATCGGGCTGCTAACGGAGTCACTGGCTTCTTGGACCTCTTGGGGAGGGTCGATGGTGCTCGTGCAAGCAGCAGATCCCAGGGCAACTTGCTGCTGTTTGCAATGGCTGTCTACCGAGGAGAGACAGGCACCTAGCAACATCTGTTGTTGGGGCATTGGATGAATTCCCTACTATGTTTGTTAACTGCTCATTACTCTGTAATTTGTCTATGATTGTAATCATGTCATAACGTGTTTATCATTCATTACCTTTGAAACTTGTCATGATTTTGACCAGCTCTACCTGGAACTCATTACCTTTGTAAATTCTCATGATTAATGTGTTTATGATTCATTACCTTTGCAATTATTCATGAGTGTAACCAACTCAACCTGGAGCTCATTACCTTTGTAACATGGTCATGATTATGACCAGATCTAGTTCACTACCTTTGTAACTTGCTCAGCTATCAAAACTTTGGAGTCCAGTCCCTGGACCAATTATGTACCTCTGTAATCTTTTGACTACCGCCCACAGGATGGGTATGGGGTGCATAATAAACATATTAAACTAACTAACTAACACAGCATTGGAAAATAAGGAATATCCACTAGGAATTTTTATTGACCTAAGAAAAGCTTTTGACACAGTAGACCACGACATCCTACTCCACAAACTTGACCATTACGGTATGAGTCCATGCGCTTGCTTATTTCAAATCTTACCTTACTAATAGGTATCAGTATGTCACCATTACACAGCATCAACAACACAGCCACTTGATGGCAATATAAACACAAATGCAGTATAATGTGATCCTTTATTGACTACGTTTCGCCCACACAGTGGGCTTTTTCAAGTCACAAACAGAACTCAGTTCTGTTTGTGACTTGAAAAAGCCCACTGTGTGGGCGAAACGTAGTCAATAAAGGATCACATTATACTGCATTTGTGTTTATATTGCCATTGTGTCGGTATTTTATACCATTTATTTCCACAGCCACTTGATACTGGAGTTCCGCAGGGAAGTGTCCTTGGTCCCCTGCTCTTCCTCAATTCAAAGTTTATTCTCTATAAGGATTACAATGCTGAGTTTACAGAAATTTGGTTATTGTTTGGTTTACATGTAGTAAAATTGTGATTACAGAGTGTACCACTATAACGCTTAGCATGGCTAGGCATTTCGGGCATACTTAGTTTTATTCTTAATTGTAAAATATTACAAATTATGAGGTAAGTTGGTCTTATGGCTAAGTGACTAAACGTATCTCAACACCTGAAACCCATTCTCTTTGCTGACGACACGACTTATGTCATCTCTCACCCTAATCTTGCCACCCTCAACACCATTGTTAACGAGGAGCTGATCAAAATATCGACTTGGATGACAGCCAATAAACTTACGCTTAACACTGACAAAACCTACTATATTATGTTTGGTAGCAGAGCAGGAGATGCACAAATTAACATTAAGATCGACAACACTCTAATTACCAGACATAATGAGGGCAAATTCCTAGGCCTATACCTTGACAACAACCTGAATTTCAGCACCCATATCCAACACATAACCAAAAAAGTATCCAAAACGGTTGGGATCCTCTCCAAGATACGATACTACGTGCCGCAAAATGCCCTTCTCACACTATACCACTCACTCATTTATCCATACCTCACCTATGCTATTTGTGCTTGGGGATCAACTGCAGCAACACACCTAAAGCCAATAATAACCCAACAAAAAGCTGCAGTAAGAATAATCACTAAATCCCATCCCTGGCAACACACCCCCCCACTCTTCATAGATCTAAACTTACTCCCTGTTCAGTACATCCACACTTACTACTGTGCAATCTACATCTACAGGACCTTAAACTCCAATATCAGCCTTGACCTAAAATGCTTTCTTGACAGTTGTGACAGAACCCACAGGCATAACACCAGACACAAACATCTCTACGACATTCCCCGTGTCCGACTAAACCTTTACAAAAATTCAATGTATGTCAAAGGCCCTAAAATCTGGAACACCCTACCTGAGAACTCTAGAACTGCAGACACATTCATCACCTTCAAAACTATCATTAGAAAACATCTTATCTCCCTGATACACCCCATCAACTAACTACACGAATACCACCTGGTGGTTCACACTTACACTCACTCACCCATTTGACCATAAACAGAAATATTAACCTCAATCTTAAAATAATGAATCCTGTGATACTCCAATATTGAAACTATGTACTGTGCCAAAACAAAAGCATTCACATTGCTAAACTCACAAACTAGTATTTAGACACTTAGCCATAATACCAACTTACCTCATAATTTGTAATATTTTAAAATTAAGAATTAAACTAAGTCTGCCCGAAATGCCTAGCCATGCTAGGTGTTCTAGTGGTACACTGTAATCATTATTTTACTACATGTAAACCACACAATAACCAAATTCTGTAAACTCAGCTTTGTAATCCTTATAGAGAATAAACTTTGAATTGAATTGAATTGAATTATTTTTTTAAATACACTACCTAACAGAATACTCCATTCTACTGAATGAACAGCAATGCATGCAACCATAGGACTTGTCTTTGTAATACTCATTTGTATTTTATAGTTATCTGTTTACAATAATGTCTTGTCTTGGGGTGGCCTGGTGGCTAAAGCTCCCGCTTCACACACGGAGGGCCCGGGTTCGATTCCCGGCGGGTGGAAACATTTCGACACGTTTCCTTACACCTGTTGTCCTGTTCACCTAGCAGCAAATAGGTACCTGGGTGTTAGTCGACTGGTGTGGGTCGCATCCTGGGGGACAAGATTAAGGACCCCAATGGAAATAAGTTAGACAGTCCTCGATGACGCACTGACTTTCTTGGGTTATCCTGGGTGGCTAACCCTCCGGGGTTAAAAATCCGAACGAAATCTTATCTTATCTTATCTTGTCTTATCACTGATTTCATCATTGCTTAGTTAATCTTAAGTTAATTTTAAGCCAGCCCGTAATGCTATGCATATAAGTGGCTTTGGCATGCTGTTCTTACCTGTATTTTTTGTACCTCTGTTTGTATGCTAAAATTTCTAAATAAAATAAAAAAAATAAAAATAAAAAAAATTACTTACCTACTTTACTCCACTTACAATTTTAGAGTGGTTACCCCTGTAAATAACAAAGTTGTGAGAGTAGTGTTGGTGGCGCCACGGTCGCCAGTGTGGTAACTCACATTATCTCACTCTCTCTCCTTGACTCTACCTTCTGGTCTTGTGTATTGGTGCCCACGAGGGTTGTGTGGGAACGCTCTAGTGCTGGTAAATAAAGATGGGAAGGAAGGCAGACTACCAGAAGGCTAAGAGAGGACCGGGAAGGAAGGCCAGGAAGCAGCCAGTGCCAGTCTTCAGTAAAGGTGAGTTAATAAGGTCTTTACTGGAAATAAGGGAACTTTGACGTTTTTTGGGGGGTATCCTGGGTAGTTTACACATATGGTTGCTGGTGAGGGGCTCTTGATTCAGGGAATTGGATCTGTGCTCCAGTTCCCTGAATTAAGCCTGAATACCTTCCACATCCCTCCACAGGCGCTGTATAATCCTACGGGTTTAGCGCTTCCCCTTGATTATAATAATAATAATAATAATACACATGGTGATATGTATGATAATTTTTGTAACTATTTGCATGCCTGTACCTGATTATACTTATTAACAATGGAAATTAGGTCACTTTGACCTTTTTTCAGGGGGTTATCCTTGACCTTATTTCTGGGAGTTATCCTGGGTAATTTACACATATGCTGATATGTATGATAATTTTTGTAACTATTTGCATGCCTGTACCTGAATAAGCCTACAAGAACTCCAATGGAAATTAGGTCACTTTGACCTTTTTTCGGGGGGTTATCCTTGACCTTTCAGTGGGTTATGCTTGACCTTTTTTTGGGGGTTATCCTTGACCTTTTTTTGGGGGTTATTCTTAACTTTTTTTCAGGGGGTTAACCTTGACCTTTTTTCTGGGAGTTATCCTGGGTAATTTACCGGGCTATGTATGATAATTTATGTAACTTTGTCCTCTTCAAGGGGGGCTCCTTGGCGCGGTGAAGAGGCTCTTGGTCCGAGGAATTAGACCTGTCAGTCTTCTTCCTCAGACCGAACCTAATTACCCCCCAATCCCCCCTTCCCTATCCCATCCTCCCCTTTTTCCTTTCCTCCTCCTCCCCCCCCCTCCCTTTTGCCCTTCCTTTTTTGGCCTTTGGGATTTTTTCCCACAGGCACGCGAGTTCCTAGGTATGGGAAAGGGTACCGGGGTCCATCCCATTCCGCTGAGGTTCTTGGCGGTGGCATAGTTTGCCGTGGAATCTGGATTGCCTGGGGATGTCCCGATCCCTCTCCGGTACCCCGGAGGGTGGCTTTGGGTGTGTCTCAGGCGACGGGTGTATCTCTGGAAGCCACCTTTCGGATTCCAGGGGTGGTGGCTGAAGGAGGTATGCTTTGTGGCAGATATCCGGCCGCCCTCTCTTTTGTCTACCGAGGTAGCTCGGCAGATGTGAGGTTGCTATCCCGGATTGCTGGTTTACTGGCATGATGGGTAGGGTATGGCACGGGTTCCATGCTGCATCTACTCTACTAGCGGTGCTGAGGTCCTCTTGGGCACGGAGGGAGATTTCTGGCCCTTTCATTCCTCCTAGGAACTATCCCTCCCCGGTCCCCCCTTTTTTATTCTTTTTTTTATTTTTCTTTTCTTTTCTTTCTTTTTTTTCTTAAAAACAAAAAGAAAGAAGTAACCTAACCATGGCAGCCCCAGTCCATGAACCTGATATCCCCGGGCCCCTTCTTGATACTGCACCTCGTTCTGACCCCGCCTCATCTTTGAAACACTCTTCGGACACTCCTCATGCCTCTGTACCTCTTGCCGGTACTGTTTCCTTGCCCGCTTCAGGTACTGAGGTCTCAACTGACTCCTTCGATTTATCTGACCTCTGCTCTCCTTTGACTATGCTTCCGGCCTCTCCCTCTACGGTGCGGCAATTTTCGAATCGCCGGCCCATTCCACGTCGGACCAACTCTGGTCCCACGCCTAAACGCCAACGACAATTACCTGCTGATGATACTTCTCCGCCTTCTCGTTCTTCTCAGAAAAGATCGACACGTCCTGCACTCCCTTTCCACGCTCAGTTTCAGAATGCACAATGGACTAAATTCTTCACTTTACGACCAACTTCCTCTACTGCCTATCTTTCCGACCACAGTATTGGCAAGGCACTCATACGCCATGTTGGTAAAGATATTTCTTTTCATGCTCTTAAGAGTGGTACATGCATCATCACTGTACAGAATGCTACCCAGGCTCATGATCTTTCTCTTCTTTCCCATATCGATACTGTTCCTGTCACTATTGAAAAACATCATTCCCTCAATTCTTGTAGTGGTACCGTCGTTCTGCCCCATACCATAGTTCAACAAAATTTCCAGACATGTGGCAATGACATTCTTGAACAGCTGGAACTCCAAGATCTCCCAATCCTCAAGGTAGACACTTATGTTCTTCCTGCCCGCGGGCGGAGACGATACCCTAGCAATGTGGCTCGTTTAACTTTTGACAGCCATGAACTCCCATCCTCAGTTTATGTAGCAGGACATCGGTTACAAGTTCGAAAGGTGATCCCTACACCGCAACAGTGTAGAAATTGCTGGCGATTTGGCCATCCAGCAAAATATTGCAGATCCATAGCCGAATGCCCAGTCTGTGGTGCTGATGACCATTCTAATACGGCTTGCAATCGACCTCCCTCTTGCCTTAATTGTCATGAGGCTCACCCTTCGTACTCTCGCCGTTGCCAAGTCTACTTAAATGAGCGGGAAATCCGTTACCTCAAAGAGCCATGGCAGTTTCTCATCTCCGCCTCCAAGGGAGACTACCTCGTGTTTCTTATTCCCGTGTTTCAAAATGTCCCCCCACTTCTGGGGTCCCATCTTCTGCAGCCTCCTCTGTGGTTACCTCTCCCATAGTCACTCTGTATCTAATTCTTTTGCTGTCCTAGGCTCAGACGTCCCTACTTCAACGCCTCAGTCTGTTCTCGCTTCTTCATGTTCTCCCTCACAAGCCTCAGTATCGGCGAGATCTCGTACGACACCTCCTCGCAATCGTCCCTCTACTTCTCAGAAGTCAAAAAAAGGTCCTTTAACCCCTCCTTCCCTTCTTCCACCTCCTCATTTTACCTTCCCTGTCTCTGTACCTGGTTCTTTCCCTCTCACTGGCTCTATTACAAGTGTAGAGGTTCACCCTCCTCCTCGTACTGTACCTTCCTTCCCTGTTCCCTTCCAAGTTTCTTCCTCTTCTGCCACCTCCCAGGTTTCTGCCTCTTCTGTACCCTTCCACACTTCTACTCCAGTTCCCTCCACCCTTTTGCCCCCCCCTACCTTGGTACAGTCCATTACAGTTCCAATCTTTACTCATCCTCCCCCTACCATCTCCAATATTGTCTCCCATACGACGTCTCTGAATTCCGAAACACTTGAAGCAATCTCTCAATATATTGCAGAGACCAAACCATCAATGGACACTGATCCACCCTCTGTTCCTTCTCTCTCCTCTCCTCCATCTGCGCAACTTCTTTCTTCACAGCGCACCATTCCTTTGCTACTTGACCGTTTTCCGCTGCCTCCGCATGTGGACTTTTCTAACCCCTCTAGTCCGTAGGAACCCTTACCTGGGGATTTCAGGTATCTTAATCATTGCCAGTCATGGCCTATTTACAGTGGAATATACACGGCCTCAGGGGTAATCGGGGTGAGCTTCAGATGTTACTCTCCCAGTTTTCCCCTGTTGGTGTTTGCTTACAGGAACCAAAATTACACTCTGCTGTTATCTATCCCATCTCGGGCTATAATTTATTGTATTCTTCAGATCCTTTTCCTGATGGGACCTTTAATGAAAGTGCCCTTCTTCTACGCACTGATATTCCGTACCATCAGCTATTTGTTCATACTTAGCTGCATTACACAGCAGCCCGTATCCACTTGCATAGGTGGTATACGCTCTGTTCTTTATATCTCTCTCCTCAGGCATTATCTATTCCGTATATTGCCTTTCTTGTTTCGTCATTACCGCCACCGCTTCTGTTACTTGGCGATTTTAATGCCCATCATTTCCTCTGGGGGGTCTCACTGTGATTCCCGTGGCATTCAGTTAGAGGCTTTTCTTGCTACCCACCCCCTCCATGTTTTAAATACAGGTACTCGCACCCATTTTGATCCTCGGACTCGCGCTCTTTCTTGCATCGATCTCTGTCTGCTCTTCCTCCGCCGCATTAGACTTCACCTGGTCTGTTCTCCCGGATTTACATGACAGCGATCATTTCCCAATCATTCTTACTTCCCCTTCATATTCACCACCTCTTCGTATCCCACGCTGGCAATTTGATCAGGCAAATTGGAACCTTTACTCACAGCTAACTGTTTTTAGTGAGGTTCCTTCTTCGTCCTCCATTGATGAGCTTTTACACCTCTTCTCCTCGTTCGTTTTAACCGCAGCTTCTCATTCTATACCCCAAACTTCGGGCAGGCATTCTCAGAAATGTGTGCCTTGGTGGTCTCCTGCTTGTGCTCGTGCAGTACGTTTGAAACACGATGCATGGGGCAGGTGCCGGTACAATAGAACCACGGAGAGACTTCTTGATTTTAAGCAGAAGCGTGCGATTGCTTGCCGCGTCATCCGTGACGCTAAACGCACTTGCTGGCGAGATTATGTCTCCACCATCACCTCTGCTTCCTCTACGAGTGCAGTCTGGAAAAAAGTACGAAAACTGAGTGGTAAATATTCTCCTGACCCGGCTCCTGTTCTGCGGGTTGCCAGTGTTGATATAGCAAACCCACTAGATGTTGCCAATGAAATTGGCAATCATCTGGTTCGTATTTCTCAGGGGCTCCATCTATGCCCCTCATTTCTTTCCTCAAAGTCTGCCAGAGAGTTAGCACCCTTGGACTTTTCTTCTCTCAGAGAAGAACAGTATAATGTGCCTTTTGCACTTCAAGAACTGGAGGCAACACTCTCAGCTTGCCGATCATCGGCAGCTGGGCCCGACGACATTCATATTCGTATGCTACAACATTTACATCAGTCAACCCTTGTAGTCCTATTATGCCTTTTCAATCTTATTTGGTCACAAGGAGTTCTTCCACAGCTGTGGAAATCTGCCATTGTTCTCCCTTTCCGCAAACCAAGCACTACGGGACATGAAGCCTCCCACTATCGTCCCATTGCTCTTACCAGTGCAGTTTGCAAAGTGATGGAACGCCTGGTAAATAGACATTTAGTGTGGTATTTAGAGACACACAACCGTCTCTCCACTCGTCAATATGGCTTTCGTAAGGGACGTTCTACCATAGACCCCTTACTACGCTTGGATACTGTTGCGAATAAGAAATTTTATAAAGAACTTCAGAATGTGGTCTGTTACTATTTTCTTCTTATGCAACAAGATTTTGGATCAGAGTTAGTTAAAGGTATTTTAGAGTCTAGAGGAAATAAGTTCAACTGGGAAGCTCCATAGAATAATATTCAAATTTATTAAAGTAGTATTTAAATACAATACTTTATTTTCTCTCTGTACCTAATATTATATCTTAATACTTTGTACAATAAATTTACAATATATATATTTAGTTCAAAATCATGGAAGTATCACATTAATAAGGAAGATTAATTATTCTTCCTGTAATTAAGTCTTCGCTAACATTTACGTCTTTGTCTTAACAAGACTGTGTAAACTCAAACTACAAAATGTACAAGATTCAAAAAGACCTTTGAATCCGGCCATAAAGGAAGTAGAAAGCAAGAGTTTGTCTGAGAAGACGTATCTCTATGGATTACTGAACTGACCAAGAATATAAATATCAAAACAATCTTTCAGAGCAATGAGGAACCAATTATGAGTCAGCTCTGGAGCCTAATTCTCAAACTCATTCAAACTGTACACCCTAAGAGAGAACCAATATATGATCAGTTGTCAAGGCTAGAACAGGGAGCGGACTGACTACCTGCCAGTCTGTTGACCCATCATCAGGTTGGATCACCTGACCCAAACGTCAGTCAGCCGGACATAAACAATTGAACAATTCACTGGATGGTTCCAAGACTTATGCTCTATAAACATAAGAAATCCTACCTAACAATAATAATAATAATAAAATAGGGATAATACCATGGTATTTTTTATATATTAACATATAATAATACAATGCCGAAAGTCTCTATTCTAGCTATAAACGGGGACTTTCGTGCTATAATATTAAGTGATGATCATATTCTCTTACAATAGTTAAATATCACAGGATAACCAATCTGCAAGATATAACAGATGCGTATGTTCATAATGCCTTTGCGAATAACCACTCAGTTATTGCCATATTTTTTGACATTGAGAAGGCATATGACACAACTTGGAGGTATAATATTTTGGCCCAAGCCCACTCCTTAGGCCTCCGAGGCAATTTACCATCCTTCCTTAAGAACTTTTTAACTGATAGACATTTCCGTGTTCAGGTTAATAATGTGCTCTCCCCGGACTTCATCCAAGCTGAAGGTGTCCCCCAGGGATGTGTTCTGAGCACAACACTTTTTCTCCTTGCTATTAATGATTTGGCCTCTAGTCTTCCATCAAATATTTGGTCATCACTCTATGTTGATGACTTCGCTATTGCCTGTTCAGGCGCTGACTGTCACCTCATTACAGTTTTTACAGTTTCTCTCCAGCATGCGGTCGACCGTGTTTCCAATTGGGCCACCACACATGGGTTTAAATTTCCCAGCACTAAAACCCACCAAATTACTTTCACTAGACGCTCTGTCATCTCCGATCATCCTTTGTACCTCTATGGCTCCTGTATCCCTGAACGTGATAGTCAAGTTTCTGGGCCTCCTCTTTGATCGTAGGTTATCCTGGAAACCTCACATTACCTCTCTGAAGGCAACTTGTCACAGCCGGCTGAACCTTCTTAAAACCCTTGCTTGTCTTTCATGGGGAGCTGATCGTCGAACCCTCCTTCGCCTACATTCCACCCTCATTTTATCGAAACTTGATTATGGTGACCAGATCTATTCAGTGGCATCTCCTGCTACTCTCTCTAGCCTTAACCCCATTCATCACCAAGGAATACGTTTATGCCTTGGTGCTTTTCGCTCTTCCCCTGTTGAGAGCCTCTATGCAGAAGCGAACGTTCCATCCTTATCCGATCGCCGTGATGCCCATTGCCTTCGCTACTATGTACGCTCTCATGATCTCTGCAATCCTTCCATTTATAGAATGGTCACTGATATTAGTAGACCTTCTTTATTTGTTCGCCGCCCCTGTTTACTCCGTCCCTTCTCTCTTCGCCTTCATTCGCTCTTGTCTTCTCTTCAATTACCACCTTCCTATGTTTATGTAGCATCTCACTTTTCCCTACCCCCCTGGGAAGTTCCAGCTGTTCGAGTGTGTTCTTTCTCTCTTCCTTTCTTGAAAGCCCAACTGTCTACGGTCGCTTCCTGCTCTCTTTTTCTTGACCACTTCCACTCTCATTCTCATGCCATTGCTGTGTACACAGATGGCTCTAAGTCTTCTGACGGCGTAGGATTTGCAGCAGTGTTTCCGGACAGCATCATACGAGGGCATTTACTCTCTTCGGCTAGTATTTTTACTGCTGGATTGTATGCCATCCTTGCAGCACTTATCCGTATTACATCTATGCCTGTGTCATCATTTGTGGTTGTCTCAGACTCCCTTAGTGCTTTACAGGCTATACAGAAATTTGATACACCTCACCCCTTAGTCCTCTGTATTCAACTTTGGCTACGCCGCATCTTTACCAAGCATAAAGATATTGTTTTCTGTTGGGTCCCTGGTCATGTTGACGTACAGGGCAATGAACAGGCAGACACTGCTGTGCGGTCAGCAGTACATGACCTACCAGTTTCATATAGAGGTATTCCATTTACGGACTATTTTGCTGCAATGTCTTCCCACCTTCACACCTGTTGGCAACAACGTTGGTTTACTATGCTTGGTAACAAACTTCAATCTATTAAACCGAGTATAGGTTGCTGGCCGTCTTCTTATCACCAGTGTCGAGGTTGGGAGACTACTCTCTCTCATCTTCGCATTGGCCATACTTGTCTTACTCATGGATATCTCATGGAGAAGCGCCCTGCTCCTCTCTGTGAGAATTGCCAGGCTCCATTATTAGTCAGCCACATTCTGTTGGACTGCCCACTTTATCAACGAGCACGCAGAATTTACCTCCGTCGTCGTCTTCGCTCCGCTGCTCTCTCTTTACCTTCCCTTCTCGCTGATGGACCCACCTTTCATCCGGACTCTCTCATTGACTTTTTGACAACAACTGACTGACTTCACAAATTCTGATACCTTCAGCCCTTTCTACCTCAATCTCTTGCTACCCTCTACCCCCGTACTATCCCCTGCCCCGCTGTTTTCTGTAACCTACTGATCATCTCTCCTCCCTTCTGCCGCCCAATACCCTCGCTTCCTTCCCTACCCTGCAGCGCTGTATAGCCCTTGTGGCTTAGTGCTTCTTTTGATTATAATAATAATATGTAACTTTGTGTACCTATACCTGAATAGACTTATTTTAGGTGCCCCGTAGCTTGACTGGTAGCTGATGAATGTCTCAACTTATTTCTATTAATTTTCCCTGACAGCGGATGGAGAAGAAAAGGTATTAAGCAGACGTCAAAAGATACGAGCTAGAAAACGAGCCCTGAAGGAGACCAGTAAGGATGAAAGACCAAAGAAGAAACTCAAGATGTTGCCACCACATAAAGGTAATGTGGTCATTGATTTGAAATCTGACCATACTAATAAAAATTGTACCATTGTTCGTTTAGCTGCCTTTCTTATTGTGCGTAGGTGTGTAATAGTATTTGGGTGCAAATATTTCCTTACACTTGCTGTCCTGCTTTACTTAGCAATAAGTAGGTACCTAGGTATTAGTTGACTGGTGTGGGTTGCATCCTGGGGAACAATATTAACCTGACCCAAAATGTTCTGCATAACCAGAGGATTTCTATATAGTATGTCATTCATGTTAGGTCTATAAGTTGTAGGAGAGTGAGACGGATATTTCAGTCTGACTTGGACCATTAATTAGTCACATAGAAGCATGAAGGGAAGGGAGCCAATAAATACATACAAGAAGGGATGCGGCAGGGAGAATGAGCCCTGCTCCCTTCTTGTATATGTATGTTGGCTTCCTTACCTTTGTGCTTCTGTGTGATTAGTTTATAGTACAAGTCAAACCAAAATGTCATCATAAGTTTCATTCTTCTATGTGTGGGTTATTTATGCATTGTTCCAGTCGTCATATTGTGCCATTTTATTATATAACAAGTTTTTAGTTTGTCAGGTTATTTATTGCTCTACCAGCCTCACCTGATTTACCCCAGTCTCCTTCAAGAGGGTGCTGCCTTGGTAGCACTATTCTTTTTGTCCAATAATTGGAACTGTTCTTCTCTTCCTTGGATCCAACCCTATTATCTTCTATTCCCCTTGTACTGTGGGACATGGGTTAGTACTTTATGCATATAATGATGCTTACTTTGGGTCATATACAGTAATTCATTATATCAGCCATATACTTCACTTTCATTTTCTAAAACCCTTTCTTGCCTGTTGCTGTCTATTCTGTGGCTGGCAAATTCAGCACTGTTTAGTATAGTCATACTTTTACATGCATGCTTTCTTTTATCATGAATCTTTGGACTTGAAATATTCACAGACCTCTTATGAAATCTGTGTTTCAGAGGACAAGTTGGACAGTGAGGGGGAGCACCAAGAGGCTTCTGATGATATGGAAGAGAGTGACAGTCCTAGAGTGAAGAAGGTCAAGAACCAACCCCAAAATAAGACCAAATTTGCTCTATTTGAAAAAGATGAGAGTGACGGGGAAGAGGACAATAATGAAGAAAGCGACAGTGACGGAGATGACAAAGATGATTATGGTGATGATGACGACGATGATGAGGATGATGTTGATAACAATATAGAAAAGGCATCACAAAAATTGGAAAGGAAAGAGAAAGCAAAAATGTAAGATATAAATTATTTTTTAACTAAAGATTTTGATTACTGTATATATTTCCCTGTCATTTTATTCTTATAGAGAGCTTTAAGTTTTTGACAAATGTTCTTATGCAGTGATATTATTAGTTGTTGGAGTGGAGCAAGGTAATATTTCGTGAAGGGATTCAGAGAAACCAGTTAGCCGGATTTGAGTCCTGGAGGTGGGACATACAGTGCCTTCACTCAAAAGAAAGTATTTGGGAAGGACATCTGAACTGTCATATCTGCACACCTCTGGCAAGACAGTGATAATGTGAATGATGGTGAAAGTGTTTCTTTTTCGGGTTGCCCTGGCTTGGTGGGAGGTGGCCAGTGTGTTAAAAAAAAAAAAGATATGTATTAAACAGCAAGCGTGCGTGAGCGTGTTAGATAGGAGTGAATGGAGACGAATGGTACTTGGGACCTGACGATCTGTTGGAGTGTGAGCAGGGCAATATTTAGTGAAGGGATTCAGGGAAACCGGTTATTTTCATATAGTCGGACTTGAGTCCTGGAAATGGGAAGTACAATGCCTGCACTTTAAAGGAGGGGTTTGGGATATTGGCAGTTTGGAGGGATATGTTGTGTATCTTTATATGTGTATGCTTCTAAACTGTTGTATTCTGAGCACCTCTGCAAAAACAGTGATAATGTGCAAGTGTGGTGAAAGTGTTGAATGATGATGAAAGTATTTTCTTTTTTGGGATTTTCTTTCTTTTTTGGGTCACCCTGCCTCGGTGGGAGACGGCCGACTTGTTGAAAAAAAAAAAAAAGTATTAAACAATAAGTACTATTCATTTCATTATAATATTTGACATGTTGATGAGTAAGACATATGTGTAGCAGTTAGGTATCTTTATTGTTGAAACTGTTCCACATGTCTTACTCAGCAACCTGCTAGTATTTTACACCATTTTCAGCATACAATATTTGACATATTGGCATGATTGCTTTCCTTTAAAAAAATATCAATCTTTTTTCTTTTTTTTTTCTTCAAGTCGGCCGTCTCCCACCGAGGCAGGGTGACCCAAAAAAGAAAGAAAATCCCCAAAAAGAAAATACTTTCATCATCATTCAGCACTTTCACCACACTCACACATTATCACTGCTTTTGCAGAGGTGCTCAGAATACAACAGTTTAGAAGCATATACGTATAAAGACACACAACATATCCCTCCAAACTGCCAATATCAATCATATCTACATAAATTATTTTAAAACCTCTTTTTTAATATGCTGTCTTAATGAAATGTTCTTCAGTGCTGCGGGTGATGCCTACCTGGAGGAGTCGGCAGCAAAACTTCACATACAGATTCCAAGTCTTGAAGAGGTACTAAAGGAGCTTGAAGAATCCCCAGACCTACCCAGTATCAACATTCGAATCAAGGACACGGCATTCATACTTGCTGATTTCAGGTAAAGTCTTTCTCACTCACTACATTAATCTTCCTGGATAATCTTCTCAGGCATTACCATGATATAGTTTATAGTTTTTTAGGTGAATTCTTTGCTTAAATAGTTTTCATGTCTATCCCAGTAAAGAGAAAAGGATCAAATGAATTAAGAACAATCTTAAACCATTTATTAAATAAGCATAACATGAGAGAAACCAAAAATAAATGGATTAAGCAAAGGATAATAATATAATCCATTGTAGACATTTGATATGGTAATGGCAAGGCACTGATAATTTTACCTTGGACACACTAATTATATCTGATGGTTTGGCACTCATTTTTAAATAGTATAATGATGTGGTACTGTATTTTACAGCAAAAGGCGTGAAGAGGGACGCAGTCGCTCAGAATACCTCTCCATCTTCCTGAACGACCTCTCCACATACTACTCATACAACATCTACTTGATGGAGAAGCTGTTAGACATGTTTGGTCCTACAGAAGTCATTGAATTTTTAGAAGCCAATGAATCGCCCAGACCCGTCACAATTCGCACCAACACACTTAAGGTATTCTAGTTTTAAGTACAACATATTGTCTATGCAGATTCCCAGAGTTTGCAATTGTGGATTTCAATTGCCCAACTTTTTTAATGAAAGGCAACCAGGATTAAATTAAATTATCCAATGATCTGGCTTAATGGCTTGCCCAAGGCCACATTACTTATTCTGTTCTCTTACGTCAGTATTAACCAAATTATAACAATATACAGTATTAAAAACATGTCTCTGAAACAACTTCAATATGAAAAAAAAGTTAGACTAGTTGCTAGTTCTGCAGGACTTTTACTTGTAAACATATCCCTTAAGTGAATTTTTAGAGACAGTTGTGCTTAATTATAATTTGCGTTTTGCTTGGATAATGTGAAGAATTAGTTATCTCTACTTGTGCTATTTATTTTGGAAATGACTCACGAAATCATAATGACACGATTGCAAACAAACCATACCATCGTGTCATTACGATTTCGTGAGTCATGTTGACGGCAGTGAAGGGACTTGAGCTAGAGTTCGTCACGGCCACGCTAGCTGGAGATTCGTCTGTAAAAACTTGCATTTGTGGTCACAGTGGTGCCTGTGCTAATCTTCCTATGGTGTAGAAATATACCTAGTTGGATGAATCTTATTGTGGCTAGCTGGTCTAGTGGCTAACGCGACAGGCTGGAGTTTTGAGACTCTATGACCGCGGGTTCAATCCCAGCTGGGGTATGGTTTATTTTGGAAATGGTTTAAGATAGTATTAGTGATTGATTTGAATGTTTACTCTTGAGAAAAAAAAAATTAGGTTTCAACAGTAGTGAAGAAAAATCACATTTCCAATCGGCTATTTTTTTTTAAATTATTAATAAAGATGGTCATATGTGGTCGTTTTTCAGTGTATGCTTACCTTGAAGTTTACATTTTTGTGCATGCATTTTGCTAATGTTTTTGCAGCAATAAAGGTTACATCTTGCCGATTCCGTGTGCCTGTGTTTTCTGCAGGTGCATGCTATATTTTGCTAATAATTTTGTTTTCCTGGAATATATCATAACCTTACATCAACAGACTCGTCGAAAAATGCTAGCGACATCCTTGATTGCCCGTGGTATCGATGTAGACATAATTAGTTGGTCCAAAGTGGGCTTAATAGTGATGCGTACGCCAGGCAATGTAACCTTAGGAGCTACGCCAGAATATTTGGCTGGTCACTATATTCTTCAGGTCAGTGGCTGGTCGAGTTAAAATATAATTTTTTTAGAAATTACAGTATAGTAGTTGTAAGTCACATTTGTGTAGCATTTGATTCTCTTAACAGAAAGTTTACTAATTTGGCCTAAATAGTGTTGTAGCCAATAAATTTAAAAATTTATTCTTATTTTTAACTGAATGATAAATTAGGTTGCGATTCTTGAAATTACAAAAAAGTAGTATTGAAAAATACTAAATACATTTCACCACATAAAATGGTAGACTAATCAAATTTTATGTGACAGAAAATACTGCATTCATTTGCCACTTTCAAAATTTACATAAACTAAATGAATACAACTGCCTGGTTGGTGTGTATAGTCTATTGTAATTTATAAGTACTCTTAAACTTGGCCAAATCATTTGATCAGTCAAAATAATCCAAGTTGTCTCACCAAGACATTTTTCTTCTAGGGCGCTTCAAGTTTTCTACCAGTGATGGCATTATCACCGAAAGAAGGAGAGAGAATATTGGATATGTGTGCTGCTCCTGGTGGAAAATCCACTCATATTGGTGTGTTGATATTTTATTCTAGTACCATTTTTTTTTTTTAACACACCTGCCGTCTCCCATCGAGGCAGTGTGACCTGAAAAAGAAAATTGTTTTTTAATTTTAGTAATTTATACATAAGGGGTTACTAGCAGGTGCCGGATCAGCCAGGCTGTGGTTTGTATGTTGGACTACGCCCGACCAGCAGTAACAGCTTGGCTGATTAGGCCTTGATCCACCAGGAGGCCTGGTCGTGGACTGGGCCTCAAGGACGTTGATCCCCGAATACCCTCCAGGTAGACTCCAAGCAGGTAGTCCCTTGCTCCCGGCATTTTAGTTGCCTCTTATGACACACATGGTTTATGAAGGAAAGATTCTTCATTTCCTTATGGAGAGTACCAGTTGTATTACCACAGAAGCAGTGCTTTATATCAAATGAGTGCTTTCTTCCCCCTCCCCCCCACACCACCTGTCCCACCAAGGAACAGTGACCCCAAAGAAAGGAAGCTCGCCATCCTTCATATAATATCTCTTGCTAGGTGTGCACAGACGTCAGTTCAAATAACCCTTTGATTCATAACTTCCCCAGCCTTCCAGTGCTGTATGACCCTTGTGGATTTAGTGCTTTGTTGTAATTATAATTCTCCAGCCTTCAGACTAACCTCTACAAGACTTGAGACTGGCTAGCTAGTGTCCCTAAATCCCTTCATAAATATTAGTTTTGTAAGCCAGCTGAAAGTATCATATAATTGAGCCTTTTGTTGGTAGGTCTGTCTTGCCAAATTTCTTTTTATGTAGCTTTGGTGAGTTTAGAGTTTTACTGCTCCCTGAGCCCAGCCTTGTTCAGGCTCATCTGGTGTTTTCCTGGTCAGCTAGGCTGTTGCTGCTAGTCATTATGTCTAGAACAAGTAAAACTGAAAATGAAACTGTCATTATAGCAGAAACTTGTTGATTTGCTTACTGTAGAACTACTGAAGTCTTATGTATTTGCCTTTAACATTTTTTCTTCTCATTTCTACAGACTAAGTTTGTTTACAACTGTAGGTTTAGGTTTACACATTTAGAATGATGGGAATATCGTTTTTAACGTTTGCCGCTTCCCACCGAGGCAGGGAGTATCTTATCCGTATGATATTTAGGTTCATATTGTAAGACTGTATACTGTTGAGTGGGTGTGTTGTGATCCCATATTCTACTGTAGCATAGTGTAAAACTCTTTCCTCTCACTGCAGGTTCCTTGGTGTTGGTGAAGGGTTCCTGATCCAAGGAATTTTACTTATCTTACTCTTGGATCAGACTTGATCACCTCTCGTTTTTCAGGAACTAGATGAACTCTATAGAGTTAGCACTTTCCCGTAAATATAATAGTGTAAAACTTTTAACTTTATCTTAATCAAAATTGTCTATTATTTTTTGACAAGTTACTAGCCCTTCAGGTAATATTCCTTGATGTCAGTTTGGGGGCTTTTGATTAAAGGAATTGGGCCTGACATTCCATTCCTTGAATTGAATCAAATTGTCTTTCATTCCCCAGGCACTGTATGACCTCTTAAGAGTTTAGTACTTTCCTCAGGAATATAATAATAATTCAAGTTACTTAGTATAATATAAATTGTAATTACAGTACAGAAGCATGTATTTAACCCTTTCAGGGCCGCCAGGTCCTCTCCGAGACTTGTTCTCAGGGTCGCCCAAATAAAAAAAAAAAATGTCTTATGAAAAGATAGAGAATCTTTTCCCGATCATAATGACACCAAAAGTGAAATTTGATAGAAAACTTACGGAATTATGCTCTCGCGAAGTGGTTATACAGGGAGTATCTTGTAGTAAATTTTTGAGGAACTTTTAAATGTTGAAGGGAGGCAGTAATTTCATGCACTGTCCAGGGAGGAATAGCATCTTTTAGGAGTGAAGAGCAGGATGCAAGTGTGGGGGAGGTGCGTGAGGCATTACATAGAATGAAAGCGAGTAAAGAATTGGGGAAAAAATTTTTTTTTTCTATGTTTGGAAATGTAAACTGTTTCTGTCTTGAAAAATGCTACAGGTTTGGTCCATAAAAGAAAGCAGTTCTAGAGCTTCCATTATCTTCATACAAACTGTTGTCTCATTATTTCAGCTGCGATAATGAGGAACACTGGGACGATCATCTGCAATGACTTGAACCGTGACAGAGTTAAGGCGTTGGTTGGTAACTTTCACCGCATGGGGATCACCAACTCTGTCATAACCTCGCATGATGGCCGTGCTTTTCCTAAGGTAATTATCTCATCATCCTCTCCTGAGTTCTCCTCTTCCCTCTTTTCCTTTAACCCTTTATGGGTCGGCAGGTCCTCTCAGACTTGTTCTCAGGATCGGCCAAATTAAAAAAAAAAAAAATTCTCATGAAAAGATGGAGAATCTTTTCCCGATCATAATGACACCAAAAGTATGAAATTTGATGGAAAACTTACGGAATTATGCTCTTGCGAAGTTAGCGGTCTCGACGATGTTTACGCATCGGCGATTTTTGCCCACTTTGAGCCCTATTTTTGGCCAATTCCAGTGTACTAGTCGACAAAAATCATAACTTTTGCTAGAACTCAATTTTTTCTATCGAATGAGTACAAGAAACCACCCATTTACCGATTTCAACTATCCAATAAATTTATTTTTATTTATTATCACACTGGCCGATTCCCACCAAGGCAGGGTGGCCCAAAAAAGAAAAACTTTCACTGTCTTGCCAGAAGGGTGCATTACACTACAGTTTTTATACTGCAACATTAACACCCCTCCTTCAGAGTGCAGGCACTGTGCTTCCCATCTCCAGGACTCAATTCTGGCCTGCCGGTTTCCCTGAACCCCTTCATAAATGTTACTTTGCTCACACTCCAACAGTGCGTCAAGTATTAAAAACCATTTGTCTCCATTCACTCCTATCAAACACGCTCACGCATGCCTGCTGGAAGTCCAAGCCCCTCGCACACAAAACCTCCTTTACCCCCTCCCTCCAACTTTTCCTAGGCTGACCCCTACCCCGCCTTCCTTCCACTACAGACTGATACACTCTTGAAGTCACTCTGTTTCGCTCCATTCTCTCTACATGTCCGAACCACCTCAACAACTCTTCCTCAGCCCTCTGGACAACAGTTTTGGTAATCCCACACCTCCTCCTAACTTCCAAACTACGAATTCTCTGCATTATATTCACACCACACATTGCCCTCAGACATGACATCTCCACTGCCTCCAGCCTTCTCCTCGCTGCAACATTCATCACCCATGCTTAACACCCATATAAGAGCGTTGGTAAAACTATACTCTCATACATTCCCCTCTTTGCCTCCAAGGACAAAGTTCTTTGTCTCCACAGACTCCGAAGTGCACCACTCACCCTTTTCCCCTCATTAATTCTATGATTCACCTCATCTTTCATAGACCCATCCGCTGACACGTCCACTCCCAAATATCTGAATATATTCATCTCCTCCATACTCTCTCCCTCCAATCTGATATCCAATCTTTCATCACCTAATCTTTTTGTTATCCTCATAACCTTGCTCTTTCCTGTATTCACTTTTAATTTTCTTCTTTTGCACACCCTACCAAATTCATCCACCAATCTCTGCAACTTCTCTTCAGAATCTCCCAAGAGCACACATGTCATCAGCAAAGAGCAACTGTGATAACTCCCACTTTGTGTGATTCTTTATCTTTTAACTCCACGCCTTTTACCAAGACCCTCGCATCTACTTCTCTTACAACCCCATCTATAAATATATTAAACAACCACGGTGACATCACACATCCTTGTCTAAGGCCTACTTTTACTGGGAAATAATTTCCCTCTTTCCTACATACTCTAACTTGAGCCTCACTATCCTCGTAAAAACTCTTCACTGCTTTCAGTAACCTACCTCCTACACCATACACCTGCAACATCTGCCACATTGCCCCCCTATCCACCCTGTCATACGCCTTTTCCAAATCCATAAATGCCACAAAGACCTCTTTAGCCTTATCTCAATACTGTTCACTTATATGTTTCACTGTAAACACCTGGTCCACACACCTCTACCTTTCCTAAAGCCTCCTTGTTCATCTGCTATCCTATTCTCTGTCTTACTCTTAATTCTTTCAATAATAACTACCATACATTTTACCAGGTATACTCAACAGACTTATCCTCCTATAATTTTTGCACTCTCTTTTGTCCCCTTTGCCTTTATACAAAGGAACTATGCATGCTCTCTGCCAATCCCTAGGTACCTTACCTTCTTCCATTCATTTATTAAATAATTGCACCAACCACTCCAAAATTATATCCCCACCTGCTTTTAACATTTCTATCTTTATCCCATCAATCCCGGCTGCCTTACCCCCTTTCATTTTACCTACTGCTCACGAACTTCCCCCACACTCACAACTGGCTCTTCCTCACTCCTACAAGATGTTATTCCTCCTTGCCCTATACACGAAATCACAGCTTCCCTATCTTCATCAACATTTAACAATTCCTCAAAATATTCCCTCCATCTTCCCAATACCTCTAACTCTCCATTTAATAACTCTCCTCTTCTATTTTTAACTGACAAATCCATTTGTTCTCTAGGCATTTCACTCCAAAACTTTTTCTTATTTTCAACAAAATTTGTTGATAACATCTCACCCACTCTCTCATTTGCTCTCTTTTTACATTGCTTCACCACTCTCTTAACCTCTCTCTTTTTCTCCATATACTCTTCCCTCCTTGCATCACTTCTACTTTGTAAAAACTTCTCATATGCTAACTTTTTCTCCCTTACTGCTCTCTTTACATCATCATTCCACCAATCGCTCCTCTTCCCTCCCGCACCCACTTTCCTGTAACCACAAACTCCTGCTGAACACTACATTTTTAAACCTACCCCATTGCCTATGCTCTCAGCCCATCTATCCTCCAATAGCTGTTTATATCTTTCCCTAACTGCCTCTTTTAGTTTATAAACTTTCACCTCTCTCTTCCCTGATGCTTCTATTCTCCTTGTACCCCATCTACCTTTTACTCTCAGTGTAGCTACAACTAGAAAGTGATCTGATATCTGTGGCCCCTCTATAAACATGTACATCCTGAAGTCTACTCAACAGTCTTTTATCTACCAATACATAATCCAACAAACTACTGTCATTTCGCCCTACATCATATCTTGTATACTTATTTATCCTCTTTTTCTTAAAATATGTATTACCTATAACTAAACCCCTTTCTATACAAAGTTCAATCAAAGGGCTCCCATTATCATTTACACCTGGCACCCCAAACTTACCTACCACACCCTCTCTAAAAGTTTCTCCTAAGCATTCAGATCCCCTACCACAATTACTCTCTCACTTGGTTCAAAGGCTCCTATACATTCACTACATTCCAAATCTCTCTCTCTCCTCTATCCTTCCAGGTGCATACACACTTATTATGACCCACTTTTCACATCCAACCTTTACTTTAATCCACATAATTCTTGAATTTACACATTCATATTCTCTTTTCTCCTTCCATAACTGATCCTTCAACATTACTGCTACCCCTTCCTTTGCTCTAACTCTCTCAGATACTCCAGATTTAATCCCATTTATTTTCCCCTACCCCCTTCAGCTTTGTTTCACTTAGGGCCAGGACATCCAACTTCTTTTCATTCATAACATCAGCAATCATCTGTTTCTTGTCATCCGCACTACATCCACACACATTCAAGCATCCCAGTTTTATAAAGTTTTTCTTCTTCTCTTTTTTAGTAAATGTCTACAGGAGAAGGGGTTACTAGCCCATTGCTCCCGGCATTTTAGTCGCCTCATACGACACGCATGGCTTACGGAGGAAAGATTCTTTTCCACTTCCCCATGGACAATAGAAGAAATAAAGAAGAACAAGAGCTATTTAGAAAAAGGGGAAAAACCTAGATGTATGTATATATATATGCATGTGTGTGTCTGTGAAGTGTGACCAAAGTGTAAGTAGGAGTAGCAAGATATCCCTGTTATCTAGGGTCAGAATTTAGCAATTTTGCCAATTTTACACAAATTTCAAAAGATGCCAATTTCCGAATAGGGTTCAGAACAAACAAGACAGACATTCCTGGCACTAAAATAAGTTCTCTGTTCGTTAGTCACATCCCCAGTCCCCTCTTGTATTTCTTTGGCTTTCCATTTTGAATTTTTATTCTTACAAAAAATAGAAGATTTGCTGTTATGCAGACTAATGCATTAGAGTAGAAATGGTATAAATAATATCAGCACACTTGTGAAAGAATATTAGACTCGCCAGTTGATGTGTATTGGACGCTTGGCATGATTTGTTTACTTTTGAACTTTGGTAAAAATCGAACATTTCTGCTACTTTGAACTCGGTTTCAAGGTACTTTTCATTGTAAAACCAGTCAAAATCATCTCAATTTCTGTAATATGTCTTCCATTCTATAAAATGAGACCAAGAAAACTAGAATACAACAATAAGTACCATACGAGAATACACTGCAAAGTCGCTGTTTTAATCCAAAAACACTTTTTTTTTTTCTCTCATTACACACTGTGCTGCAGGATTTTTTTTTTATACTGCACACACTGACCACATAGACCCATTCTTTCATATGTAGGCCTACTAGATTTGAGGGCGCTAGAATTTAGGCGTACTAGTATGTCAGAAACCCTGGGGCGTAAGCCGTACTAGTACAGCCAAAACCCCCAAAGGGTTAAAGCAATTGCTTCTCTGTTTCCTGCCTCGGTGGGAGGCGGCCGACTTGTTGTTTCCTTATTATTTAAACTTAAATGCAAATTTATCTTTTAGTTAAAATTTACTGCATTTACCTTAAAATTTTGAGTCCTACCCATTCTGTGAATTATAAAAAAGATTTAACCAAAATGATAAAAAATATTTTTTTATTTTAGGCATGTTTCTTTGAGATCTAATACAACAGCATACAATATCTCTTCTGTAATATTAATGACCATTTATAAATCATTTGCAGATGTTTCAAGTAGCATTTATTTGATCCCACTTATTCTCATTAGTATCATGGGGAAGTCACCATGCTCTACATCATGGGGAGATTTGTCACAACCTACCATGAACATATTTAGTTCCTCATGATATAATGCCTTCACTACACCTCATTCACTAGCATCAAGGGAAACTATAACCACCTACCACCATCACCACATTCATTTGCACACAATCTGACACCTAGAGTCATTACTGCTAGTTTAATTAAGATTAGCTTAAAGTACGATGTTCAGCTGGTGGATGGTTCTGGTAAGCAGGTGAAATTGGCCAACAACTGTAGGTGTTGGGATGGCAGTCATGAGGCAGATGGATGCACCTCAGTTGATGGGAAGGCAGAGAGAGGCAGACTAGCTCTTGATGGATCCTGTACACAGCTGTTAGGGGCTGTTACTCAGACAAGTGGCATGGGTAATGTAGGCTGACAGGTACATCCATTCAGGAAAGCGATGACAGTTTCATCACAGTAGTTCAGAAACTGTCTTCACGATGTTGCTTCCTAAGCTGAATGCCTGCACACATGGAGGATCAGTCAGACCTAGGGGCTGAGACAAAAGGAAAAGGTAAGAATCTGTTAAAAGCTTGACAAATTATTGCTTAAGCCCAAGTCAGAAAATTACATATATAAAAAATGAAAGTAAATATTGTAACTTTTTAAACAAATTCATAAAATGGTAAAATGGCTGCAGTGATGTACTAGTCCCAGTGTAACTGCAGAAACTTGAAGGATTCTCAGAAAGAGGTGTAGAGCGCTCTCTTGGCTACAGATAGAGAAGTACATCTGAAATTGTCTAAAATTGCCTTGAAAGCACGCGTCTCAGACTTGGAAATAGTGCTGGCAGACGAGGCAAAAAGAAAAAAAAAAACAGGAAATTCATCCAGTAAATTACCACACCCACCCATCCTACTAGCAACGAATGAGGTTAAATATTAAGGGCCTTTTTCTTTATAATTTCCACCATGCTAATATGAACTTCCACCATCACACATTTGTGTTTGGGGAAAACTACCACCACTTCTACACTTTTCATCAGATAGAACTTCCACCACCACACACTAGCATAGCATATATACATAAGTCTGTTAAGCTGAAACAGTGCTATGTGAATCTATAAAATGTATACTGCTCAATCATAACCCACATGGAGACAAACTCAGAAGATTTATTGATCTGTATATTTCAACCCTCTAGGATCCTTTTCAGCAGAAGAGGATCCCAAGGAGGATTTCAATTTTTTTTTTTAAAGTGTCTGCCGTGTCCCACTGAGGCAGGATGACCCAACATAGAAAAACTCACTCAGATATGACAGAACAATTAATCTCCAGAATTTGTCTCCATGTGGATTATTGTTGAGCTCTGACAGGTGTTCATTGCACTTTAGCTATTCACATTGTATACTAATCTTTATCTCAAACTGCTTCCCACATAATCAGTCCCCCACTTGCTGTGTATTGTTCACATTTATGTAAGCTCTTTTCTTTCATGGCCTTTCTCTCCCACCTCAAAACTCAGTCACATCAAGCACCATTAAAGACTTCACCACATAAAAATCAAACCATGGCATTGCCAGAGTCTACACCATACCTTGTGGCAACTGCAGCAAGAAATGCACAGGCAAGACGTCCCTCACTCTGGCAAGTAGGATACAGGAACAGTAAGCATGTAGAACACACAGATGATGCCTTTGTAATACACAGAGCTGCACATCCGATGTCCTGGAAAGGGACTAAATTAATACCTAAAGAAAAAGACGAAAATATCTGGAAGCTTGCCTGATTTGTAAAGAGAATACTAATGAGCAGAACCAGGAAGCCATCAGCTAAACTAAATCCATAATTCTTCTACATCAAAAAAAAATTTAAAAATGCTTCCACACACAAATTGTGCTGTCCAGTAGGTCTCCTGCTGTGCTCTCTGGCCAAAGCATTAGGACGCTTGCCTGACTACTTGCCACCTATACCTTCATCTCATAGCTCGCCACCCTGACTACTAACTTGACTTTTATTTGCAGATGATGTCATGCGCATTTGACCGGGTACTGCTGGATGCGCCTTGCTCAGGTACAGGCGTTATTAGTAAAGATGAGCGTGTCAAAACCAGCAAGGATCAGAAAGATGTACAAAGATGCTCTCATATTCAGAAGGAACTGATCTTGGCAGCCATTGATTCTGTACACAAGTTTGATGGTAAAAGTGGCTATGTTGTATATTCTACTTGCTCTATCCTGGTGAGTAAATATGTTATCAGGCTTTTATATGCATTTGAAAGTGAAAAATGCTGTTTCAGCCAAGTGTTAGCCCAGAACCTACCTGCTGTATAAGCAGCACCCACCTGTATAGAACTTTCATTAGTTATCTATGCCATAAATTCATTGGCACCACTGAGTGGATCATTATTTGAAAAGGAAAAAGACTGGCCAAGTGATTTTTTTTCCTGATGAATAATTAGACTTAAAAGGGCAAATGAGAATATCAAAGCTATTTAAGTTTTTATAGAGCCATGGGAATTTTTAATCTTTGAAAATAACAGTAACACACAGCAAGTCATCTATGAAAAAATCTTTCTTTGAAAGAGATTGAATTGATTTCTTAATTTATTTCACCATCAGGTTGAGGAGAATGAAGCAGTGGTTGAATATGCACTCAAGAAAAGAAATGTGAAGCTGGTTCCCACTGGTTTAGACATCGGCAAGCCTGGATATGTAAAATATAGAGAGAATAGGCAAGTCATTTCATACGTATTGCTACGTTTTATTTTTCAAACATTAAAGGCTATGTTAATGTCCACTTGTTTGCTATTTATTTCACTATTTGTGTTGGGACCACATTTTCCAATTTAAATGTCGGTCCAGATGAGGTATGCAAATAATTTATTAGACTACACAAATAGCCCGCACATAGAAAAGAGGAGCTTACTACGACGTTTCGGTCTGGCTTGAACCATTTACAAAGTCACACTAACAAAAAGGAGAGAGGCGGCAGTATATATAGACCAGGAGGTGGTGGTAGTAGTAGTAGTAGTGGAGCCAGTCAAATACTAAGAGGAACATTGCAAGGGTGCTAGGGGCCCACAGAGGGGGGAAAAAATAATGAAGGAATAAATACCCAAGGCAGAAGAAAGAGGAAAGAGAAGAGGGAGAAGAAAAAGGAATCAGGTTAAGTCACGGGTGTTATGAAGTTTGGAGCATTTTACAATGTAGTGGAAAAGGAAAGCATCTACACAGACGAAGCCAGGTCTAAGATTCATACAAGGAAAGTTGTGTATAAGGGAGGATTCAACCAGACGGTGACTGTAAAAGTTGGAAGTAGGGTAGACAGTTTTAGCAGAAGACCAATCAATAGGATGACTGTGATCTCTGATGTGACAGAAAAGAGCATTGTTGGTGTTGGCAAGCCTAACACTAATTTTGTGCTCCCTAAGTCTGTCGGAAAGAGATCGGTCAGTTTCTCCAAAGTACTGAAGAGGACAGGAGGATCAAGAAATAGAGTAGACACCAGGAGCATCTATAAAAGGGAGGAGAGGTATGAACTACATTAGTGCGAAGAGTGTTAGTCTGGCGGAAAATAAGTTTGATGTCCAAGGAGCAGGAGTTGTTGAGATTAGAAAGACCGGAAATGTAGGAAGGGCAGAGGACAGGAGTGTTCCCAGGAGTAGAGTGTAGGAGTGAAGAAATTTCGTTTAGCACTTGAGAAGGCAGGTCTTTGAAATGGGAAGTGTAGCCAATATGGGAAAATGAATTAAGAGTGGAAATTTCTGATTCAGGAACTGAGGATCATAGATGTGGAGAGCATGGAGAAAGAGAGACATAAGAACACTTTTCTCGACAGAGGAGCATGATGAAAAAAGTAGTGAATGTACGTGCCACTGTGCATAGGTTTGTGGTAAACGGAAAAGGCAAAACCTGTATCTGAGCAGTGGACGTGGACATCAAGGAAGCAGGAATTAGATTCCCATTAAGGTTTAAACTTAATGGAAGGGGCAAGATTAAGAGCTTCAAGAAATGGTTGGAAGAGACTAGTCATGATGCCACAGAGCAAAAATGTCATCTACATAGAGCCAGAGTAAAGCTGAATGGGAATCGAATTCTTTGCTTCCGTTCCCTGGTGTCCATATTCACCGCTCAGATACAGGTTTTGCCTTGTCCATTTACCGCAAGCCTATGCACAGTGGCATGTACATTTACTCCTTTTGTCATCATGCTTCCTCTGTCAAGAAAAGTGTTCATATTTAGTCTTTCTCCGTGCTCTCCACATTTGTGATCCTCAGTTCCTTGAATCAGAAATTTCCACTCTTCATAATTCATTTTTCCATCTTGGCTACCTCTTCCCATTTCATAGACTCTGCCTTCTCAAGTGCTAAATGGAATTTCTTCTCTCCCACACATTCTACTCCTGGGAACACTCCTGTCATCTGCCTTTCCTACATTTCTGGTCTTTCTAATCTCAACAACTCTCTGCTCCTTGGACATCAAACTTACTTTCTGCCAGACTAACACCCTTCGCACTAATTAGTTCATACCTCTCCCTCTGTAGATGCTCCTGGTGTCTACTCTTCCTTGATCCTCCTGTCCTCTGGTCAGTATTTCCGAAGTACTGACCAATCTCTTTCTGACAGACTTAGGGAGGACAAAAGTAGTGTTAGGCTTGCCGACACCAACAATGCTCTTTTCTGACACGTCAAGAGATCACAGTTCGTCCTATTGACTGGTCTTCTGCTAAAACTGTCTACCCTACTTCCAACTTTTACAGTTGCAGTCTGGTTGAATCCTCCCTTATACACAACTTTCCTTGTATGAATCTCAGTCCTGGCTTTGTCTGTGTAGATGCCTTCCTTTTCCACTACATTGTAAAATGCTCCAAACTTCAGAACACCCATAACTTAACCTGATTCCTTTTTCTTCTCCCTCTTCCCCTTTTCTCTTTCTCCTTTGGGTTGTCTTTCTTCTGCCTTGGGTATCTGTTCTTTCATTATTTCCCCTCCCCCCCTCCGTGTTCTTGCCCCTAGCTCCCTTGCAGTGCTCCTCTTTCTTAGTATTTGACTGGCTCCACCACTACCATTACTACTACTAGTACCATCACCTCCTGGTCTATATATACTCTCTCCTTTTCGTTAGTGTGACTTGGTAAATGGTCCAAGTCGGACTGAAACGTTGTCATAATTATATTATAATCAAAAAAGAAGCGCTAAGCCACAAGGGCTATACAGCAACGTTGTCATAAGCTCCTCTCTTCTACGTGCGGGTTATTTGTGTATCGTTCCAGGCACAGTATTCTGCCTTTTTTGTTAATTTATTAGACTGTGAAACTAGGGTACAATGAGCAAACGCCATAGAAAAACTTTGCCATTCATATATAAAACTTATTACAGATTAGTCTTGTCCCACACCTGGGGCAATCTCTCGTAGATTTTCTACAGGAGTACTTTGCACACCATTAGCCATAGGAAGTAGAGTTGCTATGTACAGAATTGGAAATGTTATTTTACATAAAAGTTCATGAAGTTCTTCCCCACAGCATGTGCAACATGCCAAGAACACTGAAGCCATAAAATGGGCAGGGTTTACAAAGTCAAAGATGTCACCATCCTTCTGAGTCCCAGCAACAAAGTATAACACACAAAAGGCCTCATATCATGAACTCTGGTACAGGCAGGCCCCACTTTACAGCATATCACTAATACAGAAGTTTTCAATAATACCCATTCCTCAGTTATTCAGACTTCCTACAATAAATATATGCACCATTTGCTTTAAGCTAAGGACAAATATTTTTAAGTAATGCATATACTGTACTTTTTTTTTAGGTCTAGCTATATTGCTCACTTAACCCTTACTGTCCAGACCCCTTATCTGAAACTTGTCCACAGTCCAAGAATTAAAAAAAAAAAAAAAAAAAAAAAAAAAAAAAAAAAAAATGGTAGTCTTTTCGACAAAATTGCACTTTCGTAAATTTTACTGCATCAGCGATATTTGTGCAGTAGCAACTTTTCCTACTTTGAGTCCTATTTTAGGCCAATTACATTGTTCCAGTTTACCAAATTCTTAGCTATTTCTCTAGTATGTCTTCAGTTTTATAGATAGAGCACAAGGAATCGCCCAATCAACTATTCAAAAAAGTACACAAAAAATAGAAGATTTACTGATATGGAAACTACTTATAATAATTATATAAATAATTATCAGCACATTTGTGAACACATTAGACCGATCAGTTCGATGGGCATTAGACAAGTGACAATTTGCATCTTCTGGAATATCAGCAAAAATCTAATATTTCTGCTCCTTTGAGCTTAATTTCAAGCTACTTAGTCCTGAAATTAATTATAATCATCTCTATTTCTGAAATATAGCTACCATTCTATCAAATGATATCAAGAAACCGAGAACACAGCCATAAAAACCGTCCGAAAATACATTGCAAAGTTGCTATTTTAAACCAAATTCGCTCTAGTAGTCGTCCCCACCATGCACTACATGGCAGGATTTTCTTTATATGATGCACACTCACAGCATAGACCCATCCTCTAATATCTAGGCCCAAATTTACCACTCGCTGCTTATCTGAGTGAAGTAATCACATAGTACTTCGGCACGGATTTCAAAAGGGTTAAGTGACTAGTGGAAGCAAATTACAAGAGGCTCAGAAATAGATTTGGAGCCTAGCACTGAAATGCTTACTCCCTTTGCTCACATATATGGAGGTAATTATATTACATAATCAAGATAGTGCCATTGAGCAACTAATAGGTGGGAGAGCTTGACAGTTCCAAGGAAAAGGGCATGAGATGAAGACAAATAGGAGAGCAAGACATTAGCTTTTAAACTCTTCAAAATTCTTTCATGGTTAGTTCAGTATATTGAAATAGGAAGCTATGAATACCTCCTACAATCTTACCAAGGTGGTTGGACAATAACTTGTTCAAAAATGGTGCAAGACTGACCAATTGCAATGTACTTCGTTTAATGATTGCTAAATATGTCTAATCAAAATATATAATGTGTAGATATGATACGAGTTAAGGTTGGTTATCTATGATGCAGGATGAAATGAAACTACGTATTCAACTGTTGTGAGAGCTGCGCTAAAGTTACATAACTAAATATACATAATTCATTTCTTGTTTTCCAGGTTCAACTCTACAATGCATCTGTGCAAGAGAATATATCCCCACACCTACAATTTGGATGGATTCTTTGTGGCAAAACTCAAGAAGCTTGGTGAGGTGGAGACGCAACCAGCAGATGCTGAGAGCCAAATCGATTAATATATTTTAGAAATGTTTTTAAACTATTCAGATTTTTTTTTTTCATGCACAATGTAACACTTATGAAATGTATGTTCGAATATGTTATAAATACACATGAAAGTGATATTTTTATTTTTTTTAATCTAAGAAATGTTGTGCTTGGGAAAGGTTGTTTGCATCAGTATTGTATACAAGATAAATTGTAGTAGCACTGGATTTTTTTTCCCAACACGTCTGCCGTCTTCCACCAAGGCAGGGTGACCCACTGAAGAAGCTTTCATCATCATTCTACACTTTCACCATCATTCATACATAAACACTGTCTTTGCAGAGGCATGCAGACATAACAGTTCAGATGTCACTGCAAATATTCTAAAACCCTCCTTTAAAGTGTAGGCATTGTACTTGCCACTTCCAGGACAAGTCCAGCTGACCGGTTTTCCTGAAACCCTTCGCAAAACATTACCCTGCTCACACTCCAACATTTCGTTAAGTCCCAAAAAACCATTTGTCGCCATTCACTCCTATCTAACGCGCACACGTGCCTGCTGCATGTCCAAGCCCCTTGCACACAAAACCTCTTATCCCCTTTCTCCATCCTTTCCTAGGACAACCCCCACTTCTCCACTACAGATACACCCTCCAAGTCTTCCTATATTGTTCCACCCTTTAAATGACAAAACCACCTTAACCCTTTCAGGGTTGACAGGCCCTCTCCGAGACTCGTTCTCAGGGTCGGCCAAATTTAAAAAAAAAAAAAAATTTTTTGAAAAGATAAGAGAATCTTTTCCCAATCATAATGACACCAAAAATATGAAATTTGATGGAAAACTTACAGAATTATGCTTTCACGAAGTTAGCGGTCTCGGCGATGTTTACGGATCGGCGATTTTGCCCACTTTCGGCCAGTTCCACTGTAGTCGACAAAAAACGTGAATATTTCGCTAGAACTCCATTTTTTCTATTGAATGGGTGAAAGAAACCACCCATTTACCAATTTCAACTATCCAGTACAATGGTCAGAATTTAGCAATTTTGCCAATTTCAAAAATTTCAAGAGATACCAATTTCCGAATAGGGTCCAGAACAAACAAGAAATACATTCCTGGCACTAAAATGACATTTCCTCTGTTCATTAGTCACGTCTCAAGGCCCCTCTTACATTCTTTTGCTTTCCGCTTTGAATTTTTATTCTCACATAAAATAGAAGATTTACTGTTATGTAGACTACTGCATTAGTGTAAAAAAAAAAGGTATGAATCATATTGGCGCACTTGCAAAAGAATATTAGACTCACCAGTTGACGTGTATTGGACGCTTGGCATTTGTTTACTTTGAACTTTGGTAAAAATCGAACATTTCTGCTACTTTGAGCTCAATTTCAAGGTACTTTTCATTGTAAAACCAGTCAAAATCATCTCAATTCCTGTGATATGCCTTCCATTCTATAAAATGAGACCAAGAAAACTAGAATACAACAAATACCATACGAAAATACAGTGCAAAGTCGCTGTTTTATTCCAAAAAAACGGTCAAAGTTTTTTTTCTCATTATGCACTGTGTGCTGCAGGATTTTTTTATACCGTGCACACTGACCACAGACCCATTCTTTCATATGGAGACCTACCAGCTTTCTCCCACTAGATTTGAAGGGGCTAGAATTTAGGCGTACTAGTACGTCAAAAACCCTGGGTCGTAAGCCGTACTAGTACGTCCGAAACCCTCAAAGGGTTAACAACCCCTTGATAGATTCAAAGGTGTATCTGTTCAGCAGACGATGTAAAGCTAATGAGGAGAATACATGTAGACTAGGACCAGGCTGCATGCCTGGTCTGACAAATGGCTCCAGGAGTTTAACCCCAGCAAGTGCAAAGTCATGAAGTTTGGGGAAGGACGAAGATGACGGCAGGAGGAGTACAGCCTACGTCAAAGACTGCAAAACTCACTCAAGGAAAAGGATCTTGAGATGAGCATCATACCGAGCACATCTGTGGCGCACATCAACCAAATAATTGCTGCAGCTTATGGGCACCTAGTAAACCTAAGAACAGAGTTTCAGCATCTAAGGAGTCATTCAAGATGCTGTACACTGTACGCCAAGGCCCTTGTTGGAGTATGCAGCACCAGTATGGAACTCGCATCTGGCGTAAGTCCCGTAGCTTAGTTGGTAGAGCACTCGGCTCACATAGTGTCCATTGGGCATGTTAGAGGATCTCGCCTTCAAAGACCACAACAATGTATCTACCAAATCTGCTAGGAAAATGATAGGATGGATAATGAGAACCTTCATAACTTCATAACTAGGGATGCCAAGCCCATGATTCTCTTCAAGTTGCTTGTTCTCTCCTCTCAAGGAATGTTCCTTGATGCTGGTGAGGGGCTCTCGATCTATGGAAGTGGATCTGTGCTCCAGTTCCCTGAATTAAGCCTGAATGCCTTCCACATCCCCCCACGGGCACTGTATAATCCTATGGGTTTAGCGCTTCCCCTTTGTTATAATTATTATAATTATGCTTTTTCTCTCTGGGCTGGAATACTGCTGTACAATAACTGCCCCCCTTCAAGGCAGGCGAAATTGCTGACTTGGAGAGTGTACAAAGACCTTTCATGGCACACAAGTACGATAAGGCACCTTAATTACTGGTAACTGTTCAAGTCCATTGATTTGTATTCCCTGGAATGCAGGCGAGAGATACATGATAATAAACACTTGGAAAATCCTAGAGGGATTGGTATCAAACCTGCACACTAAAATCACTCCCTATGAAAGCAAAAGACTCAGCAGGAGATGCAATGTTTCCCCAATGAAAAGCAGGGGCACCACGAATACACTGAGACACCACAATAAGGGCCCAAGTTCAACTGCCTCCCAGCATACATACGGGAGATTACCAATAGACCCCTGGCTGGTTTCAAGAAGGCATTGGACAGGCACCTAAAGTCAGAGCCTAACCAGCTGGGCTGTGGTTCATACGTCAGTTTATGTGCGGTCAGCAGTAACAGCCTGGTTGATCAGACCCTGTTCCACCACGAGGCCTGGTCTCAGACCAAGGCCGAGCCCAGCCGTCAAGAAATTAGAGAAAGTGCAAAGGTTTGCAATAAGACTAGTCCAGTAGCTGAGGGGTTTGTCCTACAAGGAGAGGTTTAGGGAAATCGACTTGACAACACAGGAGGAAAGGGGGGACCGTGATAACGACATATAAAATTAATTGACAAAGGGGATAGGGACAGAATGTTTCAGAGATGTGACACAAGGGGTCACAACTGGAAGTTGAAAATGCAGATGAGTCACAGGGATGTTAGGAAGTATTTCTTCAGTCACAGTGTTGTCAAGAATCTGGAGAGTGATTTAGTGGAGGCAGGATCCATATATAGCTTTAAGAAGAGGTACAATAAAGCTCGTGGAGAAGGGAGAGAGTGGACCTAGTAGCGACCAGCGAAGAGGCAGGGCCAGGAGTTATGAATCGACCCCTGTAACCACAAACAGGTAAGTACACAGATGTGTATGTGATGGGCCGCCAATGATACCCTCTGCCTTGCCTCAGAAAATTTCCCCTTCTATCTGCTGCTGTCTTGCAATATTGCACAGTTCCTGACGACGCACGAGAGTGCGAAAGATCTAAGGCTAAAGATCTCCATCCGCATGTGGCTTGTTCTGCCAAAAACAAATATTGATAAAGGTGAAAAAAAATGCAAAACAGAATAAATCTATTAAAATTGAGTGAGAGCAATGTGTATGTGTGCGTGCGTGCGTGTACTCACCTATTTGTGGTTGCAGGGGTCGATTCATAGCTCCTGGCCCCGCCTCTTCGCTGATTGCTACTAGGTCCTCTCCCTGCCCCATGAGCTCTATCATACCTCGCTTTAAAACTATGTATGGTTCCCGCCTCCACTACGTCACTTTCTAGGCTATTCCACGGCCTGACTACTCTATGACTGAAGAAATACTTCCTAACATCCCTTTGATTCATCTGAGTCTTCAACTTCCAATTGTGACCTCTTGTGTCTGTGTCCCTTCTCTGGAACGTCCCGTCTTTGTCCACCTCGTCTATTCCGCGCAGTATTTTATATGTCGTTATCATGTCTCCCCTGACCTTCCTGTCCTCCAGTGTTGTCAGGCCGATTTCCCTCAACCTTTCTTCGTAGGACAATCCCCGTAGCTCTGGGACTAGTTTTGTTGCAAACCTTTGCACTTTCTCTATTTTCTTTACGTGCTTGACTAGGTGTGGATTCCAAACTGGTGCTGCATACTCCAGTATGGGCCTGACGTAAATGGTATACAGAGTCTTGAACGAATCCTTACCGAGGTATCGGAACGCAATCCGTAGGTTTGCCAGGCGCCCGTATGCTGCAGCAGTTATCTGATTGATGTGCGCCTCAGGAGATATGCTCGGTGTTATACTCACCCCCAGATCTTTTTCATTGAGTGAGGTTTGCAGTCTTTGGCCATCTAAACTATATGTGTCTGCGTCTTCTTGCCCTTCCCCATCTTCATGACTTGCATTTGGCAGTTAACTTAAGGACCATTTGTTTGTGTGTGTTACTCACTAGTTGAGTTGCGGGTCGAGTCGAGCTCGCCCTGTGTAGTGTGTGTGTGTGTGTGTGTGTGTGTGTGTGTGTGTGTGTGTGTACTCGCCTATGTACACCTAGTTGAGGTTGCGGGGGTCGAGTCCAAGCTCCTGGCCCCGCCTCTTCACTGATCGCTACTAGGTCACTCTCCCTGAGCCGTGAGCTTTATCATACCTCTGCTTAAAGCTATGTATGGATCCTGCCTCCACTACATCGCTTCCCAAACTATTCCACTTACTGACTACTCTGTGGCTGAAGAAATACTTCCTAACATCCCTGTGATTCATCTGTGTCTTCAGCTTCCAACTGTGTCCCCTTGTTACTGTGTCCAATCTCTGGAACATCTTGTCTTTGTCCACCTTGTCAATTCCTCTCAGTATTTTGTATGTCGTTATCATGTCCCCCCTATCTCTCCTGTCCTCCAGTGTGGTCAGGTTGATTTCCCTTAACCTCTCCTCGTAGGACATACCTCTTAGCTCTGGGACTAGTCTTGTTGCAAACCTTTGCACTTTCTCTAGTTTCTTCACGTGCTTGGCTAGGTGTGGGTTCCAAACTGGTGCCGCATACTCCAATATGGGCCTTACGTACACGGTGTACAGGGTCCTGAATGATTCCTTATTAAGATATGTGTGTGTTGTTGTGTGTGTGTGTGTGTGTGTGTGTGTGTGTGTGTGTACTCACCTAATTGTACTCACCTAATTGTGGTTGCAGGGGTCGAGACTCAGCTCCTGGCCCCGCCTCTTCACTGATCGCTACTGGATCCTCTCTCTCTCTCTGCTTCCTGAGCTTTGTCATACCTCTTCTTAAAACTATGTATGGTTCCTGCCTCCACTACTTCACTTGCTAGGCTATTCCACTTGCTGTGTGTGTGTGTGTGGTGTAGGCATGGTGGGATATGTTTGGTGCAGCAGAGAGCATGATTGCTGTATACACCAGTCATATGGATGGAAAACGAATTAATTGAAAATCGTCGCCCGCACAGGAGGAAGGGCGGTGGGTGAGTAGGGGCTTGTGGGCAGGGGCTCGTAGGGTGGAAGTAGGGGGATAGTGGGAGGCGTAGGGTGGAGTAGGGGTTGTGGCAGGCTGTAGGGTGGAGGATGGACTAGTGGGAGGGGAGTAGGGCGGTGGTAGGGAGCTAGCGGCCAGATATGGTAGGGTGTTGGTAGGGAGCTAGTGGGCCGGGGCTCGTAGGGTGGCGGTAGAGGGCTGGTTGCGTGGAGGTAGGGAACTTATGGGCGGGGGCGACCAGCGTTTTCAATTCAGACAAAAATAAAAGGTAAATAATGGATACCCAAGCTAAAATAAGGAGAATAATAATAGTCAGGGATTTGTTTATGTTTTAACCCGCCGATCATCTCCCACCAAGGTAGGATCATCTAGACTCAAGAAATCGTAATGACACTATGACTCTATGACACTATGACTATGACCGCGGGTTCAATCCCGGCCGGGGGTATGGTTTTTTAGGATCATCTAGGAATGTAAACACATTTACCATTCATTCATCATCACGGGGGAGCGCCAAATTCGTAGGGATCATAGAGCGTCTGTGGGGGGTAGGCTATGGAAGGTATTCAGGCTTAATTCAGGGAACTGGAGTACAGTTCCAATCCTCAAGATCAAGAGCCCCTCACCAGCATCAAGGAACCTTCCTCGATGGGCACCATTCATTCAATATCTGTCTTAAATAGTAAGACACACGTACAATAATTGGGTATCTTCATTGATGAAACGTTTCGCCTACAAAGCAGGCTTTTTCAAATGCAGAGGCAGCATGTGTAGTGGTGAAATAAAATATGTAATCAGCCCATCAACCTTGGAGAAAAAGAATTTGAGGTGGTCAGTCCCTCAGCCTCGAGAAGAGCTCAGCTCCAAAAGAATGTTTGGAAGTACATCAGTATTAAGGTAGTAAGAAAGTGGAATAAGCTTGAGAAGAACCTGCGTAGTACGGGCCAGTAGGCCTGCAGCAGTGTTCCGTCTTCTTCCATATTCATATGACATGCAACAGAAAGCAAACTCCATATAAACTTTCAATAGGTATGATCGAGTCCAAGAAGTTAAGACCAGGAGCCGAGATTCGAACCCCCTCCCATCCTTCCACACAAGACAAACTCTTAGAGTACAATCCTTCCTTCACAACTCCTTCACTAATTACACTTCCCACTATTCGCCACTATTACTCGTCATCTTAAGACATAAATCATCATTTGGAGAGTCCTCTGGGATTAAAATAAATGCAATGTATGTTACACTAAGGCAATTTGTCCCGTCTTAATTACCCTCAGTCACGCCAAGGGTAGTTATAGAATGAACGTGGGGTACAAGGATAGTGGGTGGAGGACAAGAATAGTGAGTGGGGGATGAGGATAGTGAGTGGGAGTGCAACTGGGTAGTTCATAACTTACCTGTAGACCCATCGTCTCAAAACCAAAGGATTCGTGTTCAATCCCGGGGTGGTTGAGGTGAACATCTCCTTACATCTGTTACCCCTATTTACCTGGAAGCACAAACACCTGAATGTTAGCAAACAGTTTCGTGTGGCAACCAGTGAAGAGGCAGAGCCAGGAGCTGTGATTCGACCCCTAAAACCACAATTAGGCGAGCACACCTCAGATAGGGCTGGGATTTGAAATGAGCTTCAGATAGGATTAACAGCTCGTGACCAGTAAATTGAAAGGGGTAAACAAGTTACTGGATAGTTGAGGGTGGTTGAGGTTGACATGCGAAAGTTGAAGTGATTGGGATGAAGGAGATACAAAGCGATAAATGGAAGACATGTCGATATGTCTTCCATTACCTACATTTCTCGTCACTCCTGCCCTATCGGATTCCTATCAAAAATCTTATTATTCATCTTATTAAAGAAAAAAAAACAGTGGGACAAACGCACCAGAAACTGCAATTCGCAGGGGTTATAATTTTTATATTTTTTAAGAGTTTGTGGATTGCCTGCAGCGCTGAGGGAGGTTCCAACAACACAGCAGGGGACCCCCGGCACAGCTGGCTGTTTTTCTTCCAGACTCCGGCAAGGTGGCCCGCTTTATTATTTCTTACTGCCCAGGGCCAGTGTATGGAGAGAGACAGACAGTGAGAGGGAGAGAGAGACAGTGAGAGGAAGAGAGACAGTGAGAGGGAGAGAGACAGTGAGAGGGAGAGAGACAGTGAGAGAGAGAGTGAGAGAGAGAGCGAGACAGTGAGAGAGAGCGAGAGAGACAGACATTCTCATTTTTATATTGGATAAAATAAATGCTGCTCCATATATTACTAAATATATACAATATCCACTAAGAGGATGCCATAAAATGTTTATGAATTTTGCATTTTTTTTTTTAGATAAATTGACAAATAATTTTCCCAAAAATTCACTATAATGCGTTTAAAACAATCTCACTTCATATTTATTATATATATAATATATATATATATATAATATATATATATATATATATATATATATATATATATATATATATATACATACACATACATATACACATACTATACACATACATATATATATGCGCCTTTGCGTTCTATATAGTTGCCACATATTGGTCAAATTTTTGACCTCCCTGAGCGTGTGGAAATCCAAGTTCACTCCCAGACTCCCTAACTGGCTCCCACACCCCTCCAACACAATCACCAACGCACTCCCACGTACACCAAAGCACTCCCACACACACCAACGCACACATACACCAACGCACTCACACATACACCAACGCACTCACACATACACCAACGCACTTGCACTCACACCAACGCACTCACACCAACGCACTCACACACCAACGCACACATACACCAACGCACACATACACCAACGCACTCACACACCAACGCACACATACACCAACGCACACATACACCAACGCACCTGCACTCACACCAACGCACTCACACCAACGCACACATACACCAACGCACTCACACACCAACGCACTCGCATGTCTTCAGTCCAACACACAACAGCAATATGGTAATGTTATACCTTGCCTGAATTTTCAGCTTCATAGTCACGTAGAAGGACGAGTGGGAGAGAGAAGAAAGGAATGAAGGGAGGGAGAGAGAAAATACGACACTGAGCGTGGGAGGGGTGAAAAAAAAAAAGAGGAAGAGGGAGAGAGAGAGTGAAGTAGGAAATACGACAGGGGGAGGAAGAGGAAGGGACAAAGGGAGGGGGAGAAAGAGAAAATACGACAGGGAGAGAGGGAGAGAAAGATAAAGCAGCTAAGAAGAAAAATAGGATAGCTGAGAGACCATTGTACAAAAAGAAAATATACAAGTTTCTCAAACGAAATACCTAGGGTTAAGGGATACCTCCACTTAACGTTGCTGAGGTTAAGGGATACCTCAACCTTGCTGGGGTTAAGGGATACCTCAACCTTGCTGGGGTTAAGGGATACCCCAACCTTGCTGGGGTTAAGGGATACCCCAACCTTTCTGGGGTTAAGGGATACCCCAACCTTGCTGGGGTTAAGGGATACCCCAACCTTGCTGGGGTTAAGGGATACCCCAACCTTGCTGGGGTTAAGGGATACCCCAACCTTGCTGGGGTTAAGGGATACCCCAACCTTGCTGGGGTTAAGGGATACCCCAACCTTGCTGGGGTTAAGGGATACCCCAACCTTGCTGGGGTTAAGGGATACCCCAACCTTGCTGGGGTTAAGGGATACCCCAACCTTGCTGGGGTTAAGGGATACCCCAACCTTGCTGGGGTTAAGGGATACCCCAACCTTGCTGGGGTTAAGGGATACCCCAACCTTGCTGGGGTTAAGGGATACCCCAACCTTGCTGGGGTTAAGGGATACCCCAACCTTGCTGGGGTTAAGGGATACCCCAACCTTGCTGGGGTTAAGGGATACCCCAACCTTGCTGGGGTTAAGGGATACCCCAACCTTGCTGGGGTTAAGGGATACCCAACCTTGCTGGGGTTAAGGGATACCTCAACCTTGCTGGGGTTAAGGGATACCTCAACCTTGCTGGGGTTAAGGGATACCCCAACCTTGCTGGGGTTAAGGGATACCTCAACCTTGCTGGGGTTAAGGGATACCTCAACCTTGCTGGGGTTAAGGGATACCTCAACCTTGCTGGGGTTAAGGGATACCTCAACCTTGCTGGGGTTAAGGGATACCTCAACGTTGCTGGAGTTAAGGGATACCTCCACTTAACGTTGCTGGGGTTAAGGGATACCTTAACGTTGCTGTGGTTAAGGGATACCTCCACTTAACGTTGCTGGGGTTAAGGGATACCTCCACTTAACGTTGCTGGGGTCGTTCATTCTTCACTTAACGTTGTGATAACGAACATTGGAAAGTCATCGTAATGTTTACGTTTTCACTCGCAAGTATCTTTCTAGTATGACTATTGTAGTCTAGTGATTTATTGGACCTTTCATTTGTCTGTAAGGATATAAATGAGGAGAAACAGAAGCATCAAGCGTTAATCAAGAGGGAAAGAAGAGGGCAGGAGAGATGGTCAAGAGAGGGCAGGAGCCTCTTTTAAAACAATAGTAGGGGTGGAGACTACGTATATATTATAGCCATGTCGGGAGCTTTTATGACCCTGCCACACACTCCTGCTTTTTGTGTACACGAGGGCTCAGCAGGGGCTAGTCTCTCTCTCCCTCTCTCTCTCCCTCTCTCTCTCTCTCTCTCTCTCTCTCCTCTCTCTCTCTCCCTCTCCCTCTCTCTCTATCTCTCTCTCTCTCTCTAAGAGCTACACAATTATTTAAGAGTTCAAATTACAAGCTAAGATATGCTGTTTGTCTGGTTGCACAACCAGTTTGTTTGTACTGATCCTGGAATGTCGTGGTTCGTCCTTTGAAGTGGTTCGTCCTTTGGAGTGGTTCGTCCTTTACAGCAGGAATGGTAAGATGGCATTATAAGAAAACGTGTGACCAGAAACCAGAAGTTTCCTTCTCCATAATGTTGGTGGTTCTAAGACGCTGAAGAAAACATGGTGCCGGGCAGCCTAGAGGCTCTAAAAATTGATCCACTGCAGATGCAGCAGTGACAAGCATTGCAGCTATGATCAACAGTGCTTATCTCCTTGATGTGAATGTGTAGCTTATCTTTCTTGTTCAACAATGTGGAGAATCTCTCAGTTGCAAAAAACATACAAGAATCTGAAAGGCTATGAGAACTGATGATAATGATGGAGGTAAATGACATTACGGAGTACTTAGTCCACTTGTATCTTAGTAGTTTAGTGTCAGGGAAAAGGTGTAATGTTAACTGTGTCAGGAAAAAGCCTAGATTTTGTAGTTTGAGCTTCGTCTTCTCCTAACATTGTTATGGTGTTAGAAGAGTCAGTCTTAGCTGCAAGTAGATATCTGCTCTATTATAAGCAGACGTTATTGAGCAAAGCTTATTACTAGTGTACTGGTAATATTTGTCGTATATAATATCTTGCGTGCAGAATCATCGCTCATCATATTGCATTATCCATTTTAAGTAACATTTCTAGGCACAGGGAGAAATGTTTCGTTATTGTTCTCTGAATGTGACCAAAAATGCTTGTTTTATGAAGTCTACAGAAGTTGTCTATCTAAATTTATATAGAAAGCCGCTTATGCTGAGCATTTAGGGCAAATTAGGTCAGTTTTGTCCCAGAATGCGACTCGTACTAGTCGACTAACACCCAAGTACCTATTTTAAATTGATGGGTGAACAGGGACAGGGACAGCAGGTGTCTTATGGAAACACGTCCCTAATGTTTTCCAGCCGTACCGGAAGATTCGATCAACGGACCTCAGAGTGTGAGCAGAGTGCGCTAGCACTGAGATAACAGTCACATTGGACAACAGATTTGTAAAGCTTCAGCCTACCAGCATTCCGATCAACATGGAAATACAAAACTGTAATTTCTTTTACAAAAATTCTTGTTGGGAATTACACTAAGGTGTTCAATATTCATGTTGATTATATATTTATTATTCATGGATGATCGGCGAGCAGTTATGCAGTCCACTTTGAAATTTCAAAATCCTCAAGGGTGAGGGACTGATCCCCCACTGAATTATCAGTCTAGACACCAAGTTCATCATCAACTAGGAACTACTATACACCAGATAATTCATGTTAAGCGCTAACACCCAGATACCCATTTTTTTATTGATGGACAAGCATAGACAACTGGTACAAGGAGACACGCGCAGTGTTTCAACTCTCGCCGGGAATCGAGCCTGGACCCTCACCGTGTGAAGCGAGAGCTATTGCTACCAGGCCATGTGTGTGCCTGCGTGTGCCTGCGTGTGTATGGGGAAGGGGGCGTGTCTGTCACCCGACACATCAAGACAGCCACAATGCAATAACAATGAGGTAAGTGACCACTCGTTACATTCCCCCTCCTTCCAGACTTTTCCTCCATGTCTTCCCTGGAGAGGTTTCCAGCTGGGAGAGGCCTAGGGTGAAAATTAGGAGGAAATGTTTTATTAGCCACATAGAGTGATATTCCCATATTGATCAAGGAAAAGCAAGAGTGAAGGCTAAAACCTCAATCCGATTAACATTTAACAGATTTTTAATAAATCATTATAGAATTAGAGTTTCCTTTAAGCACTACGATAATGTGTGAGGCAGTAATAAGGTCCATGAAGGAACTCGACACTGCCAACGCAATAACAAAACCGCTCAACATTACCATGTAAACGAAGAGGAGGAACTGAAGACCTGTGCAAGCCACTCGTCCAGATCAACAAATCACTACATACGAGAACTACCAGATTCCTGGAAGATGGTAAATGGAATAAAAAATGTTTAATGGCGAAGACAGAGGAGGAACTAACCTACACACCTGTCTCTCTTAAGTCTCCCACGTAAACAATGGAAGGATAACTATTATATTATTGAAGGAATAAACCATACCACGGGCGGGGTTTGAACTCGCGATCAGTCATAAAACTCCAGACCGTCGCGTTAGTGGCTAATGCGACGGTCCGGAGTTTTGTGACTGATCGCGGGTTCAAACCCCACCCGTGGCATGGTTTGTTTGCAATCGTGTTATGATTCCGTGAGCCATGAAGGAATAACTGGAGAAAATGGAATTCCTGGCAGAGCAACAGCGCAGGTTAAAAAAGAAATTGTGTCTTACAAATTTGATCGAGGCCTATGATAGGTTAGCAGGGTCAGGCTTTGAAGAAGTTGGGTAGGCTTCATTTTTTCTAGATTGCAAGAAAATCTGTGACAGAGTATCACACAGACGCAAGGTGAAGTGCAATGAGGAGCACTAGGTTAAATCATTTCTCAAGAACAGGAGAATTAGTTCCCATAAGAAAGTTCGTGTCAACATGGGTAAGTGTAACTAGTGGTGCTCCCCAAGGATAAGCACAAAGATTCAAACTGTTTCTTATATTGACAATTGTATTTTAATATTCATAAGCACTAGTGTAAACACACACACACACACACACACACACACACACACACACACACACACACACACAGAAGGTGATAAATACAAGCAAATTTCTCCCCATCCACACTGCCTGTCTCAACGTGTCTGGGGAATTTTTCCCTCTGCCTGGGGGAATTTGACGGGAGGGGAAATTTCGGGTCGGTCCTGTCACTTCCTAGGAAGACATAAATAGGTAAATAGGAAGATAAATAGGTAAATAGGGGGTAAATTGGCAAGGCGGCCGCGTGTACTCCCCTAGCGAAGACTGAGTGATTTCTGGTGTTTTGGTCCATGGGGGTGGAGTTGAGGGGAGGTGGTGAGATGAGGGGAAGTGAGGGATGGAGGCAAGGTGGGTGAGAGGGGAGGCGAGGGGTGGAGTTGAGGGGGTAGAGAGGTGAGGGGCTCGTACTGGGAATGTTTTGAAACTAGTGTCTCAAGAGAAATTGTAGTTGATGATGGATAAAAGAACTGGGGAGGAGGGAGAGAGAGAGAGAGAGAGAGAGAGAGAGAGAGAGAGAGAGAGAGAGAGAGAGAGAGAGAGAGATCCCTCCCGGTGTCTCACTGGACAAACACAGCTTCGAGGAATGACCATCTCTTTGCTTAAAAGATTATCTTGCGAGTGGTCACTTGTAGCCAAGCTGCTCTCTTTACTCCTCCTTCCCTCTCATTTCCTCTTCTGACAGCCTCTTCCTTCCTCTCTCTTCCAGATACGTCTCCCCCTTCTTTCATCCTCAAACTCTCCATCTACCTATTTCGCCTCTTTAACCTCGGTTTCCTCATTCTCTACCTCCCTTTCCCATCTAATTTACCATCTCTCATCCTCTCTCTCTCTCTCTCTCTCTCTCTCTCTCCTACGCCTATGTCTCGTAAATTTTTATTCTTCTCCGTTTGTATCATGACTTTTTTCTTATCCCCTTCTATTCCTTCATTTCTGATTATTTCCCAACATTACCAGTCTCTCCTGGTTCTCCACGTCCGTATCTCGTCTCGCTCTCCGTCTCGCTTTTTATGGGTCTCGACACGCATCAATATTAATGATAAACTAGGGAGGGTGAAAAAAAAACAATTAACCCCATTACCTTCATTTATAAATAAACCTTGTGTAGAGGTAATATTTATTTCTACAAGTACAAGCTGACTCACTTGCAAAATATATAGAAAACTGGTTATACAGAGGATTTCGGGGTGAACTTAGATTAATCTTGTCCCTGAGACTATGACCCACGACTATGGCTAACACCCAGGTACCTACTTACTGATAGGTGAAATAGGGGCAGGTGTGAGGAAACACTACCGACGTTTCACGCTGGTTGATCAGGTCCTGATCCACCATGAGGCCTGGTCATAGACCGGGCCGCGGGGGCATTGACCCCCGGAGCTCTCTCCAGGTATACTCCAGGTATGCCGGGGATCGATCCCTGACCCTTCGTCTGGGAGGTGAGGACGCTACCAACCCATTTATTTATAAAGTACTGAAATTTGCTTAAACTATTTATAAAAAAAACTACTGCTGTTATTTATATTAATTTCCAGCTAAACTATGTAAAAAAAACGCCTCAAACCGCTCTGAAAAGTCGAAGTACAATAAAAAAAAAAACATTTTTGGGGGTTTGTAAATATAAATATATCTGACCCGGAAGCCATACCCAGCCTAACACTTCCCCCGCTATCAACATCGGCAGTGACAAGAACGGGCGTATAAAAATATTACGGTATAAATTTTTTTTATTTCATATCAATTTAGAAGCCTAGTTTTTTTTTGGGGGGGGGATTTACTTAAGAGTCTGAAGATTTTTTTTTTCGTCTAAAAAAGTTGTTTCAACTGGAAGTTGAAGAGGCAAGTTGAAGCGTGGAAATTAAACACAAGGGATAATGCTGTCGTCACTGTCAGGGGATAATGCTGCCGTCACTGTCAGGGGATAATGCTGCCGTCACTGTCAGGGGGTAATGCTGCCGTCGCTGTCAGGGAATAACGCTGCCGTCACTGTCAGGGAATAACGCTGCCGTCACTGTCAGGGAATAACGCTGCCGTCACTGTCAGGGAATAACGCTGCCGTCACTGTCAGGGAATAACGCTGCCGTCACTGTCAGGGAATAACGCTGCCGTCACTGTCAGGGAATAACGCTGCCGTCACTGTCAGGGAACACTGGAAGGCACTGCTCTCTGATGTCAACAGGAACACATTTACCTCTTAGTGACAGAGCTTTCCGCTCACAACCAAAAGGACCTGGGTTAGATTCATGAGCGAGGCGAGACTTTTCAAGCCTCCTTGCACCTGCTGCACCTAATTACCTAGAGGTTAATGAGTACCTGGGTGTTAACCGATTGTTGTGGGTCGCATCCTGGGAGAGAGGACCTCTGGGCCACAACAGAAATATCACATTTAACCTTAACTTTCTGCTTAATTAACCCAACGGAATTATTAGCAACAAAAAATTTATTTTCTTTCCATATTTTTCTCTTGAAAACAAATATATATATATATATATATAAGAGAGAGAGACAATTTACATAAAAGAATACATGGCGTGTTCCATTTTTCCAGGAATGGCAACGGTGGTTTTTGAGAGAGTGATTTCCTTGGAGATTTCGGCAGTGGATGTTGGAGCCCTGAGGCTCTGCCTTGATGCTCAGCCATACACTACTCAGGTTGTGGGAACCCTGAAGCTCTTCCTGGAACCCTGAGGTTCAGCCCCACACTACCCAGCCTTGAGGTTCTACCTGGAGCCCTGAGGCTCGGCTATACACCACACATGATATCACGCAAACTTATCTGTACAGCTGGCAGTATTGTCTTTCGTCTAACGCAAAAAGGTCATTATCAAGTCGAAATGCCAGTATGAGCTGCTAATGATGCTTTCTGAAATTAATTACTTACGAAAAGTCAGGTGTAGTTCCATATATCTAGTTAGATGTTCCTTATATATACACTCAGATGCAGTTTCTTACATAGAATCATGTGTGGTTAGCATGTCTCTCTCCCAACTCTCTCTCTCCCAACTCTCTCTCTCTCTCTCTCTCCCCCACTCTCTCTCTCTCTCTCTCTCTCTCTCCCAACTCTCTCTCTCTCTCTCTCTCTCTCTCTCCCAACTCTCTCTCTCTCTCTCTCTCAACTCTCCCACTCTCTCTCCCAACTCTCTCTCTCTCTCTCCCAATCTCTCTCTCTCCTCTCTCTCCCAACTCTCTCTCTCTTCTCCCCAACCTCTCTCCTCTCTCCCCAACTCTCTCCTCTCTCTCTCTCTCCAACTCTCTCTCTCTCTCTCTCTCTCCCAACTCTCTCTCTCTCTCTCTCTCTCTCCCAACTCTCTCTCTCTCCCAACTCTCTCTCTCTCTCTCTCTCTCCTCCCAACTCTCTTTCTCTCTCTCCCACTCTCTCTCTCTCCCCAATCTCTCTCTCTCTCTCTCCAACTCTCTCTCTCTCCACTCCTCTCCTCTCTCCCAACCTCTCTCTCTCTCTCTCCCAACCTCTCTCTCTCTCCCCAACTCTCTCTCTCATCTCTCTCTCCCAACTCCTCTCTCTCACTCTCTCTCTCTCTCCAACTCTCTCTCTCTCTCCCCAACCTCTCTCTCTCTCCTCTCTCTCTCTCTCTCCCCAACTCTCTCTCTCTCTCTCCACTCTCTCTCTCTCTCTCTTCCCCAACTCTCTCTCTCACTCTCTCTCTCCCAACTCCTCTCTCTCTCTCTCTCCCAACTCTCTCTCTCTCTCTCTCCCCAACTCTCCTCTCTCTCTCTCTCCCACTCTCTCTCTCTCTCCCAACTCTCTCCTCTCCCCCTCTCTCTCTCTCTCTCCTCTCTCTCTCTCTCCCCACTCTCTCTCTCTCTCTCTCTCTCTCTCTCTCTCCCACTCTCTCTCTCTCCCCCTCTCTCTCTCTCTCTCTCCCAACTCTCTCCTCTCCTCTCCACTCTCTCTCTCTCTCTCCTCTCTCCCAACTCTCTCTTCTCTCTCCTCTCTCCCAACTCTCTCTCTCTCCCCCACCTCTCTCTCTCCCCAACTCTCTCTCTCCGCCCCTACATCCCTTCCAACCCTACCTCCCTTCCATCCCACTTCTTTCTTCACGTTTCTTTCCGCCACGCTTTTTCTCTCCTCCCGATCTTCAGATCTGAGCTCAAGCTTACTCAGAGCTCTACTTACGAGGCTGACGTAATTTTCATGTAAATGTATATGCAAATGAGCTTCCACTTGGCCCAATCATAGCCTCTCTTTCAGCCCTCCCTGCCTCACGTTTAATTATGAAGGGATTACCTTGTTGTACACAGAAACTAACAATTGGAGGGAGGAGGGACCGAGGGAGGGGATGAAGGAGGGAAGGAGTGAATATGGAGAATGGGATG